ACCTGGCAGCCTACAGAGAAATTTGCTGTAACTAACAGCAGGAGGGGCAGATTTTTTCACCAGTATGAGAGCGTCGGAAAATCAATGACGTGAGACAAGTATCAATGCGCGAGCTTTGTCGGGGCACCGGCCATAAAGTAGCGCTCGGAGTATCTTCATCGCACCTCAATGGCTTGGAAAGATGCCTGCCCTGGCAAGTAAGATCAGAGGACATTTTTTTCCGTTGGCTTGACGTGAATATCGAAGAGAATACTCGTAATTCCCGACGCTTTTCTGATGTTTTCCGAGAGCAGTCCCCTGCAAAGCGGGTTTTTATCTCGAAAGTCTTCGAGAGTAAGAATATTATTTTTGGACGTAAGAAGCTTATCGCATTGCGGTGAACGCAGGCAACAACATCACCTGCGAACAATAGTTGCTGCTGATGTGCATATTTTCAAGGCACTCGCACTCAGGCTAATGCATTGTTTCTGCTCACCATTTACCCATATTAAATACTAGAACTTTTATTTTCACGGGTTATTAAAAACATTTGGATGTGATCTAATAAAATTCAAATGTAATTGTCACTTATATCATTATTGCGCTAATTTATTAAAATTCTGCTTATGTAGAAATTTCCAGATGAGCAAGCCAATAACCCTTCTATACACTATTATCGGCATAACTGACTTGAAGTGTTCCAAAAGTCTTCATAGGACATCATGTGGTGAACGCGACACTTTAGTTCTTTTAATTTTATCCATAGACGCAAAGGCCACGCCAATGACTCAAATCTTAAGATTTCTATAGGTAACATGTAGCGGAAGTTCGTTTTCGTAACGGCCCAAGGCTATGCTGATGCACCAACCTCGACGCATATCATACGCTATCCTGGGAAATATGCTGAGCTTCCCGCTTCCCAGGACTCGAACCCACGGTTGGCTAACTTTTCTCATCTCATGGCTGCTACCATTGCGCTATAGTGGCTTTTTTCCGTCATCCTCATATAATATCCTATATCTCATGAGTCATGACAAATTTTCCTTAGTGTTGAAGCTCTAACACATAATTATTGGTTCAATGTTCGTTAACTGTCAGTTGCAGTTTGGTCACGACGCGTCGATATCGGCCCAATGTTGGGCGCTATAGAGAGCGAATGTACATCCCTGCAAGGCCGCTGTAATTGTATTGGGCCGTCGTTCAGGTCACGTCAGAAGGAACCAAGTTTTTTATTTTGTTTGAAAAGGCGTGATTGGTTCGGAACAATCAAAAGCAGGCCTCTGAATTATTCAGCAGTAAGAGGCTCGTCCTGTTAGCGGCCTCTGATTTTCGGAAATGACTTTTTTCTTCTGTCAAATGTTTTGGCATCGAACGCTGGCTGAAAAATATTCAGCACCGACCTAATTGGAGGCAAGAAAAAATATTTCGGCGTAGTTGTACTTCATTTTTTCTTTTCGTCCAAATTGGTAGTGGTTTTCAAACTCTATGGTTCTTCACTTGAATGGATAACAGGAGCACTCACTTCACTTTCTTAATCATCGATGTACATGCTCAGGAAGTTAATCGGATAATTAAAAGCGTGTCAGTTATCACGCGGATTTGTTTCTTCGTTAGAATAAGACGAAAAATAATTGACTGTCAATTTGTCAAAATTTTTATTTTTAATCCAGAAAATACATTATGTTTTCGAGTATTATCTTTTAGATAGACTCATCATACAATTAATCTCTATAACAATTTGCCCGAGTCTCCCTATTAATATAAAATCTCATATTTCCAGTAGGAATTATTGCCATTTTGTTGCTCCAAACCAATTAATGTTACCAACATACTATAAGGTCTTTTATTGTAAAATAGCATCTTCCCTTCTTGCTAACATCTTCCCATTTTCCCATTAACTGAAAAGCTCCGATCAATGAACGTGATTACATCATTCCTCGGTGATGGCAACACGCCCAAATAATGGCAAAACCCAAAGCAATGGTAGCAAGCACAAGTGATGCCAACACATTCAAGTGATGGCAACACGTCCAAGAAATGACAAAACTTCAAAGTGATGAAAACTCGCCCAAGTTACGTCAAAACACCCATGTGTCTAGTGTATCAGCACCCTAGTTGCGGCAACACCTTGAGTGTGGCAACACCTATATGTGAGACAACGCTCATTAGTGTGGCAACACCCACAAGTGTGGTAACACCCATAAGTGTGGCAACACCCATAGTGTGGCAACACCCATAAGTTTGGCAACACCCATAAGTGTGGCAACACTCGTATCGGTGTGGCAGAGTTAAAAGTTCATGATTAGAAAACCAATGACCAAGCGCTCTTACAACGCGGTTACTCGGCACACTGAACGGTTGATTCCCGTGTCTCGAACTCCAGTGTCACGCGGTCAGTCACGATGGACGGATGAGTGAATAAATAATTCAAATAAATAATTTACATTACTGATGAGAATAATTTTATTCTGCTTTCCGTACATCAGGCGTTATTTGTTTCCATAGACTCAGAATAGGATTGAGAAGAGTCGATTATCGTTTAGGTATTGTCATTCACACGATGTTTTTTTGTAAAACAAGAACCATTGCGTGATTTTTTTTATTACTGCTGATTGGAAATTATTGATTGCAGCATGATGGGACTTAGATAGCTGGATCCTAATTGCTTGAACCTAAATGCAGACCTTGGTTGGTTGTGGTAACTTCATTACCATCACGCTGATATATTATAGAAGAGGAGTTATATAGCTCGAGGAAAGTAAATAATCTGCCAACTCTTTCTAACTATAATCAAATAAAAACTCTGCAGTCTCACTGAAACTCCCGGATTCGGGGTCGTTGATCCACCATGACTATCATTTGATAACTCGTCACTACCTTCTTGCCTAGCCTCTTGGAACCACTCGTGGGCCTAAACGTCATTTTTATTGCCCACTCGTGGATATTTATAGAAATGGTAATTGTCATGAATTTAAAAGTGGCGTCCTTATTAAGGAGGCCTCTATTACGAACTCTTGGGTTGTTCCGATGCTCGATCGTAAAGCCAGAAATCTAGGGTGTGAGAAGTGATCGTAAGGCTGAAATCTTAGGGGCGAACAACAACCATATTGTTCGTCTATAGTATTTGAAAAATACAAGAGAACAAAAATTGAAAGTACGGTGAGATCAAAGACTGATGGGAGCGGAAAAACTAGATGACCGGGGAAGGTAGACGAAGGGCAGATTCGAGCAACCTAAGCTTAGGTCTTTATGTAACGCCATTGCATGTAATTACATTTATGTCTTGAATCCAGCAAAGCCACATTCTTAAGAGTATTATATTCGCTTGGTTTCTAAATTTATAATAGTCCAGCCTGGAAGCGAGAACAGAAACTGGATAAGCAAGCTCGCTGCAAAGCAACCTCTGAATGGAGCAGGCTTACGTGTGGATATATGATGTCGCATTAAGAAACTCGTTAAATGACATCGCCTAACCTACATACATTATCACTCATCGTTAATCTTCAACAGTGCCATGTAACAGCAATACACAGAAACGCCGATCGTTATCTTTTGCAGAAGTCAGCGTGAATTGCACAATATAATGGCTAAGTATTGTTTAAATATCTCTTTTATGCAAGTTTAAGGAAGTCATCCAAGCAGCAAATGACCTGTTCAATCGATTGACCTCAATTTTTAAACAGCCACTAAGAGTTAATTTGTGATCGAAGTCGATTCTTAGGGACAATTGATTAGTGCTTAAGCCTCGGCCAACCGTTAGCTCGTTACTCCCAAGCTGCATTGAAATTGTGCGTGACAAACCCTAAGGCCTGTTTATTTATGAGCTTAACCTGTGAATTTAATCCCTTGCCTCGATGCGTTTCGCGTGCTATCTTTGAGGGGGCTCATTCGATAAATAAATCATATAAAAATAAAGCAGTAAGTGGCCTCAAACCTTTACGTATGACATTTTGGGAAAAATTATCGCCATACAAAGAATCATAAATAGAACTGGATGGAGAAACAAAGAAAATAATTTAAACAAATTATCATTAAGTACAAAAAATAGTTAAAACCGTGCACTCTCTTTAGGCAAACTGTCGATTTCCAATAAAGATCTTTTCAAATACTTATTTCGGAGCCTTTCTGCGATTATAAAATGAAAACACAAATCTAGAACCAACGACATAAATAAACTAATATACGCAGAAATATAGCACGGATGACATAAGATAAATAATGGAATAATATATATAAGAATATTCACTAAAACGTCCATAAAAACATTGCTTAAAAAACACGGATTAAACAAATGCCAAGAAATAAACGTGAATAATTGACTCACGTACTTCCGTGATGAATCGCATAATATATATAAGAATATTCACTAAAACGTCCATAAAAACATTGCTTAAAAAACACGGATTAAACAAATGCCAAGAAATAAACACGAATAATTGACTCGTGTACTTCCGTGATGAATCGCACATATAAATAACATAAAAAAAAACAGATTCCCACGTACGTGAGGTCACGTCAGGGGTGACTAAAAACCTAAACAGGAAATAACTAATCTAAAACATATAAGAACATTACATCCCCTTATACATAAGTATTATTATTACCTACTCATTCACCGTATAGAGCCAAGTGATCCGCTTCATGTTTCACGATCGGAAGTTTAACAATCCTCAGCGTTAGAGAAAAAGAAAAAAACCCAACAGGTTGAATTTTATTTTACTACAGCTATGATTTGCATGGCCACATGGGCGCAATGTTCATTTTTCGGTTGTTTATTGCTAGTGATTTTTTCAATGTCGATCGTTTTCTTCTTCCGCCAACTTTTTTAGCATATACGTATTTTACTGTGTGCTTCTATATATCTGAAATTTAAATTGGAAATGAAGTATCCACTATAGTTCTGCACGCCGGATTCGGTCCCACAATTTGAAGGACGAATTACTGTTGGTGTTTATTCATGTTGATACCTAATATTAGAAACTCTAAACCATTGCTTCTAAATGGTAAGAAAAGGTTTTGAAAATTGCATCACTCGTTTATTAGATATTTGAAAATTCAAACAAACAGGAAACAACACAGCAAAACTTAAATATTCATAACACCTGAATAGCTTCTGAAACAAAACATCAGTTTATGGGTCGTTGATCATCCAGTTTGAGGCTACTGATTGATCAGTCCAATGCAGGAGCCTCGGCCTTCCCGTCATCGTCAGCCGTACCGGGCAATCAGTTAGTTGCGTCGATAAGGCAACCGAACAACCGGTTGAACTGTGAAACCGAAAATAGGATGTAAGCATGTGGTTTAAGTTTTATTTATATGCATCGAAGCTTTGGTTGATTTAATTCATGAAACCTATATCATTTTCATTCATTCGGTAATGAAATGAGATCACGATTTCTCAACATTTGTTGTCTGGTTTTGTTCAAATCCCAAAGTAGCCGCAACTGATATTCCACCTAAGTTTTAATACAGAGAGTGATTACGGTATATGAAAATTAGCTTTACTACTTCCTGACAAATTTACAGACATTTTTGATGAAGGGTGTTTTTAGCCCTCACTACAGCCCTCATTCTTTAAATAGTTATTATAAAATGTTCTTGCTGAATTTAAACACGAACTTCTTGAGGGTAAAATTTTCGAAGAAGTTTATTACATAAAATACATACAGTTTAACGAAGCTCGTGTAAATGAAAGGCTCTATCCAAATTACAGAACATCATTCTTGAATTTCAGGTAAATGACTCCTTAAGGAGATAGTTATCAGACGTCTGGGAATTGCACATCTTTGTCGCTTCACTACTTTAGTTTTATTTTAAATATCAGTTGCTTCAAATTAGGCACATCGAAGTTGGTAAAAATTCAACGGCACTTACTTCAAAATATTTCATTGTAGAAGCGTAGCACTTATCGAAGGCGGCTTTGAATTTAGGATCACTGTCACATTTGTAGCGCAGCTTGTACTTTTGGAAGGTATCACGGTCGAAATTGTAGGTATAACTAAACACCTGTTGAAAGAATGGGAAAATTCAGACAGCGAATGAGGGCTGAATAATGCAGAGCTCATTTTTTATGCCAGAACAATAGCATCAAGTTTGAAGTAGAAACGAAGATGGCTGGACATAAATAGAATAAGAAATCATTGAACTGAAGTTGCATGATCGGGATCATGAAGCAGCGCGAAAGGAGTTGAAGCAAGAGAACACATTTCAATTTAACAAAATATCTGAGGAAGAGTGGAGGAATGTCTTAGAGTGAACTACAATATTGTTGCATTCTAAATTGTCGAAATAAAATCAGTTTATCGAGTTCGGAATTTTATTTCATCAAAACCTGATAATCATATTTCAATCTTGTTATTTAATGCATTAGGTAAAAACATGGTCAATATCGATCTGAAAAACATTTCTTGTGCACATATCTTTAAATCAACTGTTCATAAAAAAACGTTCATGTGCTTCTAACAACCAACTCGGGGGACAAATTTCTACTGATGGCATCCCGAATGGTCGTGTTGTCCGCATGTAGAACATCCCTTGATAAATAATATGAAAACTGAATCGTTAGATAAGCACTGAATATTACCAGCATTGCATAATGAAATTACGAACTCACCAGTTCGTTTTCGCGCAGCAAGCACTTGCGATAGTCGACCGTGAAAGATGCACAAGTGTCCCTGTTGTATTGCGGACCACCCTGATTGCACTCGGGAGCTGCAACAAAACGGAGCCTGTTACTTTTTTTATTTATGAAACATAAAATACATATATACATAAGGGCAATATACATATATATATACAATATAAAATACATATATATAGGCAATATACATAAAAAATGAGTATAGGATTAGATTTTCTCCAGTAGAGAGAAAAGTTCATATGGAAAGTTTTCCAGATAGCTTGGAAAAATGACTCGTGTTCACGATTGATTTACAAAATATAGTCTTGGGATGGCGGTAGAGACGAGACATCAGAACAGCTACAAAAAAATTACAGCACAAAGTTGCAAGTTTAGCCTATTTCGATAACATCAGTGAGGGTACTTTCATGGTTTATACAGAGGGCGGTTCAGTAGCAACCTCCTCTGCAGAAATAAACAGAACTCGCCCAACAAACAAATCCGTCGGAAAACTATTCTCCCGAAACATGCTTCTTGAAAATACACCCTGCGTATATTCTGTTGAAGTTGAATAAGGTCTTTATTTGACTGCCAAAAAATGAGCTTGTTTAATATTTGCATATCATGGTAATGGTAAAAGGATCTACCATGCATGAGAACCATTGCTTACTTTTGCTCTTCTCACATTGAGCACAAATTTATATAAATATGGGCGGTAAACGAAAGAGTAGGTACATGTTCATAGTTCCTATCAATTCGATTTTTCAACTTTAACCCGATTTTGCCGAGATTCGAGAGAGAAACAACGTGATTGATTTCGTTCTCATCGTCAGATAAATTATTATTTCAATCATTATTGACAAAAATCGCATAGGGAAGTTTCTCGTCTTCGAAATAACGAAAAGTTCCTAGAGAAGACGTCATGCATGACTCACCATATCGCGCCGCCATCCTGCCGTAGTCGAGAGTGCACTTGTTCCTGTACTCTTGGACGCCATAATCCCTCAAGGCTTGATTGCATGGGCTGCGCCTGCCAATTGATGAGTGAAATCACAATTAATAATATATAATAAGTATTTATATATAATAATACAATATACAATATATAATAAGTATTTGTTCACTTACATACGAGTATTTCTAAATGTACCAGACTCCATTGAAGGAGCCAATTTCTTGATAATAATCAAGACCAATATTTCGCGATATTTCTCCAGCTTATTACCTACATCAAATCTTATGGTAATTAAATGATTCGATAGAAGCAATTCAATTCTGTACACATATAAAAGGCAAATTCTCTATTCGCTGTAATTTTCATCGCCTGCACGTTTTTGTTTTAGAGGCTCATGACCCGAGAGAAGGTTTCGAGAACATTAATAACCACTAGTATGGACTTCTACTGCTGGAGTCGAAATCTAGAGTAATGCCGTAATGGTCAAATAAAACTAATTATTAATACTAGAGTAATAATCAAATAAAACTAATTATTATTTCAATTGGATATTTCATGTGTGTCAACAACAAAAATAATTGTAAAACTACGTCAATCTACATTTGGAGTACTTACGCCGGGGCCGAAGACGCCACAGCGGCCAGAGCGAGGAGAGCGAGGAGTCGAGCCATGTTATCTTATAAGAACTGCGGTGAAGTGCTGAGGTGACGCCGAGTCAAGAGATAAGAACTGCGGTGAAGTGCTGAGGTGACGCCGAGTCAAGAGATAAGAACTGCGGTGAAGTGCTGAGGTGACGCCGAGTCAAGAGAAGCTATGACTTCGCTGCAAGATCACGTCGATTTTATAGGCCTTAGTTTTGTTGGTTCAGGTGCTGATGCAGGTGCTGACATCTCGCCATGCTCAATCCATTATGATCAATGTTGATTCCAACATCTAATGAAGGCTGTGGAAAAATAAAATCGCTGAATTTTGTCTTCATATGAAAATTCCATGTATACTTTGAAAGAAAAGGAGATCAGAAGTTTTATTTCATTTTTATTTCACGAGAAAAAAAAATTTCGTGGATACCTCATAGATCATAATGCCGAAATCTTCAAATAGATATTTAGGGCGCAAAATAGCTATATTAAAATATTTGCAGTCTCACCCGAATTTGCTCGAATAAATGATCCTTGAGGTGTGAAAATCCCGTTTTATCTTGCACAATTTTCTGTAAACCCATTTCCGTCAATTTAGTTTCATTTTCTAACGTTCCCTATGATCGCGTTTCCTCCAATCTCATTAATTCTCTTCAAATAAAAGTAACGTTAATTCGAAAGAGTCTCATTTTAGAAAATGTCATAAGGCACGATATCCTTCATCTGTTAATAGATGTTACTTTTTAAAAAGAAATTTCACAGTAAGATTAATGTTACAGTTTTATTAACCCAACTCCTCTCCTTTCCTCTCTCCCTTTTGGATAAGACTGTTGTTTCCCCATTAAAATTAAATTTCTTAATTAAGTAAGTAATATGACGGCACGGTAGGTATTGCAGATGCGCTCTCTAATATCTGCTGAATATTTAAGTATGTCGCTCATAACACAAATATGTGAAGATTGTTTCTATTCAAACTTCCAGGCAATTTACTCGGGTATTGCATGAATTGAAGCTAGCTGTAATCGAGTTCGGGCGATCAAAATAGAGGATTTACAATTAAAATGCGCTCCGAATACACCAAAACGACCGCAATTTCGCCTAACAGATTAACGTTAGAAACCTGCTAATTGTAGGGCACTCAGGTTTCAAATTGTTATTGTTGATGATAATATTGTTGTTGTTAATATAATGATGCAACAGACATGCACTTTAAACCTATCGTGCAATTTTCAATTTGATTCTCGTATAATTTCATTATTTAAACTTGCAACTACTCGTAATTGACAGTGATTAAATTAATACGAGGCATCAATCGTCAATTCTTTCGATAAATTATACCTGCTTTGATGATTTTAATAACTATTTTTCAATTATTTTTTATGTTAACTGTAAAAATTGTTGATCGTAGGTAGTCGTGTGAGTTTACTTGAAAATTTTTGTTGCGTAAAATGTAAAACACACTAAGTTTCCTTCAGAAGCAACCTTAAACTAATTTGATGTGTGTGGATAACGCTTAAATTCATCTTCGATTGAACATGCGGTACAAGGCTTCCCTAACCAAATATTTTAAATAACATATTCTCCATCGCGCTTTTTGTGGGCATTTTATGCATCGAAATTTGCGACAAAAACTTTTGACAATTAATGCAAATTAAAACTATCTAAATACAGTTACTAAAAGTGTCTGTTGTCTGAATGTACAGACACTTTGTTGTCTATCACGTACATAGTCTGAATGTACAGCCTGCCACATACATAGCCTGAATGTACAGCTCGTGAAGAGGCTCTGTCCTAGTGTGCGAGGCACCATTATCAAAAATCATCATTCAAATAAAATGACGAGATAAATAGAGAGACATCGCGCTAATATTTTTTGATATTTATTCGTTAGCTTTGTGCATCTACGAGCAAGTGATGGCTTCGGCATCATCCATTGGCTATTCTGTTTGTATTCTACGAGGAACTCAGATAAAAAACATTCAAATGTCATTGCAGGTGTAGGATCTCATTTTTCATTGCTGCACCTGATAACTAAACACAGGTGTTGCTCGTCATCAATTTAAAACAACTAGAGACAGTGAAGGATGACATTTGCCAGGATTTCAGGCCGCCACTCGAAGCGAGAAGATGACAACATTAGCGCACCATTCAATGATCAGAGTTAGTGGTATTCGTACGGAGGTCTAAAGTTAGAGTCATCAGCTTGTCATCTTCTTGTTGTACAGCGGTGTAAATAAATAACATCTAGTCGTTGAATTTATTTGAATAAAATCACGTCAAAACCCGGTTATGTTGTGTTATGGTTATTGTGACATATAATGTTATTCTCGCAAGTGTCGGAATTATGAAGAATCGCAAAGCCGGTTTAGAATTGGTTATTGAAACGGAATCAAATTTCTAATTTATTTGAATTATATATTGTTAACGAACATGAAGTCAGATTATCGGAAACAAACAGAACAAAAACACATAAAAAATAAAACTTGGATTTTCAAGTAAATGTTGATGTGAAATTTGTTCTAGTTATTTCGAAAACTATTCGGTAACAGTGAAAACAATTGGGCAAATAAATTTTAAAATTGCAATGTTGAAGGATCCCGAGCAGGGTTGCCATATGAATGTTATTTTTACCAAATTACATAAAATATTTAAGCCTTTTTTCCAATGGCGTTTGTCGGTACAAATTCATGATGGTCTATTTTTATACGTATGAACACCCCAAAATTTCAACTGTAGCACTGCCATTTAAAAATTTACTTATAAATATATATTGAAGTGTGGCTTTCTTGTGCGAGATGACTTGCCACCATGAGACAACCTTGTCGAGTTTACTTGACGACATGAATATGATATAGTAATATGGATTTGATGTAGTAATGTGGATATGATGTAGCAATATGGATATGATATAGTAACATTTATCGAGATCACGACGCAGCATGAGGACACGCTTGTCAAAGCATTGTATAGACAAGTTCAATCAACACAAAAACCAAATCAAAATAAATACTATTTACATATTCAGTAATGACCTCGTCAATCCTTGAAATCTAGCTACAGTATAATTTGATACTGGTAATGATTACAGCGTAAAATAAATCTGACCTGGAAAAATAGATTTAATCTCACAATTTCCCATTATCTCAGTCGAGATATTATTCAGATCTTATACGTATATTATAATTATTATTGTTTACTGACATAGTCACAAATTTTTAGTGAGTACAATAAGACGGATTTCGATTTCAATGCAATGGGACTCATTCTCAGAGGATGAATTTATGCTGGGAAAAAATCATTTCGTCTCAGGTCACGATTTACAGAAGTAAAAAAATCGAAACTCTTCTCACGGACGACTTGTGGCAACAAAAATTATTCCTAATAATAAAGAAAAATAGCTGTTTTTACTAATTATTGCTGAATGAGCTTTAAAAAATATTTAACGAACCAAAACTACAATAAAAGCAGAACGCGAATGTCAACCGCCGATTAGATTGCGATTCTCATCAAAAACTTTTGCTCGATTGTAAACGATGATCGAAATCCCGTGCATCTCAATAGCAATTGTCAGGTTTAGCATGGATTATAAATTTCAAGCTTTGTTTAATTCATAATCAACTTCACAAGATTTTCTATAATTCCCATTATCCAGCAAGCTGGTCCTCGCCCTGGTTCTAGCTTCAGTGTTCAAGAATTGTAACAAAATTGAAGAACATTTGCAAACATTTTTATTTTAGTTAATCATTAATATTAACTGTGATCAGCAAGTATATATTTTGTCTTTCTACAGATATTTAATCCATTGATTCGTTACGACATCGTTCCTTGGTGAAAAGTTCTTCTAGAACATCGTAGCAGATGTTCAACGCTCACAAACTTTCAGCTGCGAGTCTCGATCGATTATAAATATCATTTATTATATCATATATATTTTTTATAACAATTATCACATAATACATTTGTTGATAATAATTATTATATTAAAGCTGCTCACAAATTTACAGCCGCGAGTCTGGATCGAATATAAATATCATTTATAATATCATATCTTTTGTTTTATAACAATTATCACTTTACACATTTGTTTATAATAATTATTATATCATAACTGCTCACAAACTTCCAGCTGCGAGTCTGGATCGAATATAAATATCATTATTAATATTATATATATTGTTTTATAACAATTATTACATTACTGTAATGAAGTGTTGCTGCAAATTTCCCACTACTGTATGTCAGACTACGAAGTTTAAGTAGGACCGACTCTGACGTGGGTGTTGAATTGATTATAAGTGTTGAAGCGTTCCTTCCAGCGCTTGTCTGAGCGCAGCGGCCGCAGCTTCGACTCCGCTGCATCACACGGACATGTAAATACGGTTAGAATATTGTCAAAAACTAAGTAAATCTTGCCAGATTATATTGAATTGGGAGAAATTCCTGTCAGATTACTTTACCGCATGCGGCATAGCAGAATTTTGCGTTAAAATCGTACCGAGTTTTGGTACAGTTGTTCCCATTCAATCCGAAAAGGGTCAAAAAATAAGAAAATTCGATTAGATTATTTTAAAGCGGGGAGTGAGTTTCTGGATTTTTTAAATGAATAAATCCGGTGGGGTTACCTTAAGTTGGGAGTAAATCCTGTTAGGTTACTTTTAAATTGAAAAAGACTTGGCGTTAAACTCTCTTAAGTACGCTGTGTTGGTAACAAATGCACAAAACAATATTCATGCCATGTCTATTTCTGATATCCTATTGTAGAAACGTTCACGAAAAGGTATCGATATGTGCAAACTGGCTTATTCAAGTGTATATTTCACGAAGTCTCAATATATATTCAGCTTGATTTATATCTTAATATATCTCACTGTGCGGCAGGTTGGTGGAAGGTCCCGCTAGGATGTAAACCTTCCTAGGTTCCCGCTTAGGATTGACCCTATTATTTTTCCTGCTGTCATAGAGGCTGGGGGCGACGAGGATGAGCAGAACGTCGAGCAGAAACTCGAGCAGCTCGAAGAACGAGATGAGCGAGAAGCCCAGGAACAGCGCCAGGCTGCCGCCTAGGTTCGCTATCAGCGTCCAGAACTGCGAGGTTAGAACAATTAATTGTTTCTTGTTTCTATAGGATTAGGGTGAGTATTTAGGATTTAAAACATTTAGAGTGAACATTTAGGGTTAGAATGAATATTTAGGATTAGAATGAGTATTTAGGATTAGAGTGCGTATTTAGGATCAAATGAGTATTTACGATTAGAATGACTATTTAGGATTAAAATGAGTATTTATGATTAGAATGAGTATTTAGGATCAGAATAAGTATTTATTATCAGAATGACTATTTAGGATTAGAATGAGTATTCAGGATTAGAATGAGTATTTAGGATTAGAATAAGTAAGAGACCGAGTAGAGGCTGACGTCGACGTGGCGCTCGTAGGTGTGGCCCGCCATGTACACGTGCAGACGAACAGTTGTGTTGTCGCAACTGCACGAGGACAGAGACATGTAAACGTGGTTGGTTAATACATGAATTTTGTGGTACGGTATTGTTGTTAACGAAGTGGTAATTACATTGTTAACTATGTTCGTTAACAAAGCATTTGAGAATGGTGTTTGAAAGTTAGCAAATAAGGGTAAAGAGAGAGCTGTGTTTGGTTGAAAATAAATTGAGAAGCATTTGTAGTGTAAAAACGATATCAGTCTAAAACTTTTCCGCAGCAGCAAAAGTGTGAAATAAAACCTAATTGGTAATCTGGGACTTTGAAATGAACGACTTTTTCATCCATTTATTTGAGGTGCCACTTCATTATGGTTGTAATGAATAAATTAGGTTCGACATTTGGGCTGATCAACGTTCGAGTTGTCCCTCAGACTCCCCTTAACCCAAGTCTTGTGCTAAAATAGAATCATTTTCAGAGCCTCTATAACGTCTAACAGGTGATACCGGCGCTGCTCGACATGAATTATTCCTGCAATTTTTTTAATTCCGCTGCCACAAACCTCGAAATAAAACGAACTAACACGCAAACGTCAACAAATATTTTAATATATCTGCTGCAAATAAATCAAATAAATTTTTGGGGGGTTACCTGCATGGAGGGTTGCAAATGTCGTCGCCGGTGTTGACTTTCTTGATGTTCTGGATGACGGTGAAGAACTCCCTGTTGGTGCCTGCCTCGCTGACTTGCGTCTCGTAATTGGTTTCTCTGAGAAGGGAGAAACTTCAAGTTTATAGGCGAGAAGGCGCTTCCTGGTGTGTCTGTTTCATTTAATTACTTTTTAATGAAAATTCCGGTGACAGTGTTGAAGATTAGGCTCGCCGTTTCTGAACATCGCAGAATTTCAGGGCTTGCTAAAAGTCGAACCCGCAACTCACTGCCCCAAATTTGGTGCTCTGAACTATGATTACTGGAAATCTCTGTCCGATTGGGTCAGGTTTCTTTGGACCAGCAAGTAAAAGAATAGGTAGCCGATGGAAAATATATTCACTAAATAGGCAAAATAATGCGGTCTCTGCCCCTGTCAAGGAATAAAAGTAATATTTTGAGGATTTGATCTACCTACTTGTTCGCTAAAGCAATATTGCAATTTAATAGAGCATGGGGCAAAAAATAATTAATTGAATAAAGGTCGTAGAGCGAAAAGTTCTTCAGCTAAGCATAACTCACGAGCAGCTTGGTTGACAGCCACAGTCTACGCCGTTGTTGACATAATCCTTATACGTTTTGGACAGGCAGTCACCTGGAACAGTTAATCGTGACAATGATGGATGATATTAACCTTTCGTATAGCAAAGGAATCTGATCGAGAAGCATTCAAGACAACTAAGGCCTTGCAGTGGCACATATAGGAATGTTGTCTATTTTGTCATTTTGAATTAGTCCGTTACTTACACGTATCCATTACTTACACGTATCCATTTCTTTCACGTATCAATTTCTTACACGTATCAATTTCTTACACGTTTCCATTTCATTCTTTTGTTCCTTTTCCATACCACCTGCCACCACCCCACCACCTTATGTCCTTAGGTCGAGTTTTTGACTTCCTAGTCCAAGGCCACCTATATAGTGCACCGCCTTCGTTGTTCTCCGTCCCAAAGTCGTCCATAGGCGGTCGCCCGGCACCATGGCCCGGAGGGAACGCTGAAGGTGACCACCGTTCATCTGCCCTCATTTGAGCCAGCTGATGCTAGATGCTGTTGCTTGCTACTTGCCGAAGGTAGTAAGGCATAACTGGATGTTCCGAGATCTTGCTCGAATTGCATCCAGTCGCCTATTGGATGTCGCAAGGGCGAACCACCACTCACCAACCGCCACCCATCATTTGCCACCCACCACTAACCACATGCCACCCGTCAACCTCCTGCCACCACTCACCGGTGGTTGTCACGAAAGGGTCGCAGGAGGACAGGTTGGTCGGCAGTGCAGGGTTCTCGGTGACAGTGCAGTTGCAGCGCGTGCGGTACTGCGTCTCCAGACACGCCTCAGAGCACGTCTGCGCAGTAGTGGGGTCATAGAGGCAGTCATTACATGGAGCAGTCATTACATATATGGTTGATTATAATACTCAGTGAGTTTTCTCATAAGAAGCCAACAACTCAGCAGGATTACTCAGCTCCACCAGGGTAACACATCACTCACCTCCTGCGAGTAGTCGAAGGCTCCACTCCCTGCCTCCACGCACCCGCTGACAGGAGGGGCGAGGCGCAAGACCTCTCGCTGGAAGAGTACAGAGTCGCGCAGCATTAACTAGGTGACTAGCTGGCTATGTCACTAGGTGGTTAGGTAACTAGGTGGCTAGGTAACTTGGTGATCTGACATGATAGGTGATAACTGTTTAAGGAAATGATTAAATGGTAAGGTAATTCATGTTCGGTGAGCAAGATGCTAGAACTTGAGTTCTATCACATTAGTTCGGCAATGTATGTTGCCTGAGGTTAGGTTTCTTAGCTAAGTCGAATCAGGTTACAGAATGTCGGTATTTAGTCAAGTTTTAAAGCTACAGAAACGTAAAAGTGACTCAAATATTTTTAATTGCTTAGCCTTAGTCCAAGAATATCAAGTAGGAGTAGATGCAATCAATTACATAGTTGGTTAGGAATTTAAATTGAAATTTTCCAGCCCTTAAAGACGTTTTTAGTTAATTCACTATCATCCTTTAACGAAAAGTTTTGCCGACGGTGATTAGCGAAATAATTTTAAAAATAACGAACCTTTTTGACGGCGACAGAGTATGTGTTTCCAGGTGCCAAGTTGAAGCCATCGCGGGAGGGGAACGGGGCTGTCCAGGGAGCGTGGACCGACACCCTCACTCCCGCCAGGGGTGACAGCAGAGACACGTAGTCAGGCCCATGCATGCTCAGCGTCACGCGCAGCCCCGACTGGGTTTGAAATGAGAACCGCGTATCAGTAGCAACAGAATGCAAAGAAAATGGGACATTTTGATAAAAATCATTTATAGATTTGGCGATGTAATATCGTAGACTAGCATATGTTTTCGCTTTAATTCCCAATTGTATGGGACTCGTAACGTGGAATATAGAGCAATTTAATTCGATATACGAGTTTAACGCTATCATGCCTTCGCTATGTACCGATGATCGCTTGTTCAAGTTTCGAACGTCGTGTCAGAAAAATAATCATTGGTATGTACCTTGTGGCCAGTATTGACCGAAGATTTAGGTTTAAATTTGGCTCGTCTGTCAGCAATTGTGTAGCTTGAAGAATCTGATGTTGCGACGTACGGAGAATTGAAGGTGTAGCACATACCAAACTCGTCTGAGACCCAAGAGAAGAATTGCCTGCAGAAGCGAAATTCAATACTGTAGTCGCAGCTTGGACGATTTATGGTAGCATTTGTTCATCGGAGTAGTTTTCGGTGTCACAACCTCACCCTATAGTGTCATTTTTGCTATTTGCGCTGCACCACTACGGTACAGTGAGGAGATGCTGAACATTTGTTGTCATATTATTAGTTGTCTGACTTAATTTTTCCAGCATTTTTCACTATACGCATTATTTTAATCTTTTGCAGACATATGCCAAATAATTCCAACGATGTCATTTATCAACCTATGGTCGATAAATGACACCTACTCATCTGCCACTACAGCTTCAATCGCCAAAAAGCCGATGCTTCAACCCCCACAGTGACATATACTTGAGGTTGGAGTAAAGCTAGCCACTACAGCTTCAATCGCCAAACAGCTGATGCGTCAACCACCACAGTGACATATACTGGGTAGGAGTAATGCAAAGATCGATAGTGGATAAGTCCTAAAACTATCGGGTTGTCTAGTTCTACAGCATGAAGTCATTCAAACCGCTTACAGAATTCTTGGTTAACTGGATACGAGCCTTAGGGTAAATTCGAAGAGAAAATTCATGTTTCCCATATGAAGACGGAGAACAAGTGAAGTCCTTTTTAAGTTACGTAATAAATAAGTCTACGTCAAGGGTAAAATCAATTTAAAATCACGAAGCGAGGGCAAATAGAGTAATAAAGCTGCAATCGAGTGACAACTTATCAAGGGAGATTGGATCGTTTCGGCCACAACTTACGCGTAATTGCAGTTGGTTTTGTCGAAACTGCAGGAGGTGATGACCTCTTGTGGAGGCCTTGCGTAGGCCTGGACGGTTTTCTTATCAGGCCTGATAACGCCAAGCATATCGCTGAGGTCTGCTGTTCTGCTATTCTGTACCTCGGTCGTAATACTGCTCAGGTCGATAGCCGTTGCTGGTTGGGGAGATATAAGCTTGGTCATTTCAATTTAATTTCAATCGGAAAAATACCATAATGCAAATATGCGCATAGAAATTATAATCATTATTTAACAGTTCCAGAAATTGACCACAACTTAGTGGAAAACTGTGTGTATTCAGTGAATTGTTGAGGAGACAGTGAAATAGTTTGGAAGTATGTGTTTCATAACCAAAGAAAGGAACAAAACGTATTAAGAATGAACCACCATAGCCTAACCTCGTTTTGGTCGCTTTAGAACGACGCTCGGACGATGAAACTCTCGCCGAGTACCAACATGTGCAGCAATGGCTCGCCACCGATTCCAATCAAACGTATTTTCATGAGCATAGTCCTGAGAAATGTTTGTAATGATATATGAGATAAGTCTAACAGATCACTTTTTTATCAAAAGACATTCTCAGCCACACCCAACTATGAAATGAATTACTACTTTACAGGACATGGCGACGTATGTTCAAGATTTTGGCTTGACTGAGTGCGCATGCATTTAGGGACACATTTGTGATAAATATATTTAACCCTCGGCTATCTTTAAACTGAGCTCTCTAAAGGCCTTCATTGATGGATATCGTATCTTATTAACCTGTTATCATAAATATTAAGACCACAAATCACTACTTATACAGATTTTCATGAGTAAACATCACATTCATGAACTAACCGAAAGAAATGAATCGCGCTTCCTTCGTCCAATTGGAAAGGAAGTGGATAGATCAAAGATGGTTGGCTTCCCGCCGTTTTTGGCCGTAGTGGTAGAACTGGTGGTATCTGTGGTGATGCTTGTTGTTGTAGAAACTGTAGAAGCACTTGGATCTGTTGTCGTAGACCCTGCAGACGTAGAGGTGGATACTGTTGTTGCAGTGCCCGTTGTTGTGGACTGAGTTGTTCCTGTTCCTGTTGTTGTGGATGCTGTTGTTCCAGTTCCAGTAGTTGTAGCTGCTGTTGTTCCAGTTCCTGTTGTTGTGGATGCTGTTGTTCCAGTTCCAGTAGTTGAAGCTGCTGTTGTTCCAGTTCCAGTAGTTGTAGCTGCTGTTGTTCCAGTTCCAGTAGTTGTAGCTGCTGTTGTTCCAGTTCCAGTAGTTGTGGCAGCTGTTGTTCCAGTTCCAGTAGTTGTAGCTGCTGTTGTTCCAGTTCCAGTAGTTGTGGACCCTGTTGTTCCAGTTCCAGTCGTTGTGGACCCCGTTGTTCCAGTTCCAGTCGTTGTGGATCCCGTTGTTCCAGTTCCAGTTGTTGTGATCCCGGTTGTTCCAGTTCCAGTCGTTGTGGACCCTGTTGTTCCAGTTCCAGGTGTTGTGGACCCTGTTGTTCCAGTTCCAGTCGTTGTGGAGCCTGTTGTTCCAGTTCCAGTCGTTGTGGACCCTGTTGTTCCAGTTCCAGTTGTTGTGGACCCAGTTGTTCCGGTTCCAGTTGCTGTTGACCCTGTTGTTCCGGTTCCAGTTGTTGTGGACCCTGTTGTTCCAGTTGTTGTTGACCCTGTTGTTCCAGTGGTTGTTGACCCTGTTGCTCCAGTTCCAGTTGTTGTTGACCCTGTTGCTCCAGCTACAGTCGTTGTGGACCCTGTTGTTCCGGCTCCAGCAGTAGCCCCACTGACAGTGGTCCCACTGAGCACCTTCCAGTTGTAGTCCCCGAGAGAACTGTCACTACAAGTGTAGTTCAAGCAGAGTTCTGAGAAAAGGGAAAGTATGGCGTCACTGTTTCATGGTAGACGTAACAATAATGGTTCAAGGCAACAAGCATAACGCAAGATAGCTGCCAAAAAAATCCAATGTTCTGGATATTTTTTCATTGTTGCTGTTTTGATATAATATAATAATGGCAAGGCAAGTTCGTGGAAGCTGGCATGAGAATGGTTAAAAACAAAGATTTCATTTTAGTTCAATGCCGAAATTAACTTTCATGGCTTCTTAAGAGTTACTACAAAAGCATCATAAAATTTATATCTTACTTTGCAGATAAGTGGTTAATTTTGTCCGCTGTTTATTCAAAATGAAACGCGTTTCTAAAACTTTTAACCCTGTTTAACGCTGTTGTGGGCACAAATTCAAATTTTCAATCAACCGAACACCGTAACCCAGACCAATTTTGCCATTCTTGAAGCCCTGGGGACCCAAGTTCAAAGCCGCCACTAAATCCTGCTCCACTTAGCAGATAGAAACGCAACTGACCTAACCTATTCCCGTTACTTCGACTTTTCACCTTCTTGCAGCCAACGAAGTGCGGCCTTATTAATATTGCTGTGAACACAGGGCGCTTTGGCTATATGCACTTATTCTTCATAGGCTACAATGCCATCAATCTGTTTCTCTTACGGGAGGGAATGTTGACAGAGTGAACTTGAGCAAAGCAGCTGGCCTTCTGCATGCACCTTTCTCAGGTCCTTCTTTTGTCAGCAGCAAGGCCAGTAGAAACCTTCCCTGTGCTTCTCTCTTCCAATCACCTGGATCGTTCTGTACGGCAGCAAGGCCAGTGCAAACCTTACTTGTACTTCTCTCTTCTTATCACCTGGATCGTTCTGTACGGCAGCAAGGCCAGTGCAAACCTTACTTGTACTTCTCTCTTCCCATCACCTGGATCGTTCAGTACAGCAGCAAGGCCAGTGCAAACCTTCCTTGTAGTGAGTTCTGCTTCTCTTGTCCCATCACCTGGATCGGTCTGTACAGCAGCTATCTTGTGCAAACCTTAAATGTACTCCTCTAGCCCTCTCACCTGGATCGTTCAGTACAGGAGCAAGGTCAGTGCAAACTGCAATGATAGAAAGAAGCACTTAGCGATCAAATTACTTAATAATATAATTAACTTTGATACAAATTGAAAGTTAAAATGCTAAAATTTGTGCAAATAGGTTTATAGGTTTGATAGGTAAAATGTGTAGAGCGTCTTGAATAAGTAGAATAATGGTTGACAAAAGTTCTGTGAATAAACCAAAAATTGAGTTGTCGAATTTCACCTCAATAGGTGACAGAAAGTACGTTCCCTCCTGTAGGAAGGCTTTTTTTGTCTCAAAGGACTCCTTATTGATCCGATGAAATGAGTAAAATTGACTTCGATATGAAACGACTACAGAGGTTGTTTAGTCAACTTTAGACTACAACTCAGACGTCTTCACTCAGAAAGTTCTATGAGTCGCATTGTCCAAATATTAACATACTTCCTTCCCAGCAGCTCGAGCAGAAAACGGACGTAACACATGCCCGGCCAAGTGTTATTATTTAAATTATTGCCAAGAATTATCCACAACACAATTCAGACAAAGTCTCATTCATTTCACGGAGAGTACAGCTCATCTAAGCCTCTCATTTACCAGAGTGTCTACTATATCATTTAATGATCTTATGTCTACGTTTAGGTGGTGACGGCATCAGTCAGTCTACCCCTGCACCCACCAGGCGCCTTGTTCTGCTGCTGCAGGACGACGAAGGCCCCGAAGGTGGGGTGGTTAGCCACCACAGTCTCGTTGGTCAGGGCGTTGAGGTTACACAGCGTCACCGCTGGGAACGCAACTTGACGTTCGTGGAGCACCTGTGAGTTATAGTTTAATATATTTATATAATATTTACATTTTACGATGTTATATTATAATATCGTGAAATACTATTATAAGAATCTGTGAGTGCATGTGGAGTTCGAGTTATTATAAGATATTAATATAAGAACCAATGAGTTTGTAGTTAGAATTATTCTGAAATATTATGATAAGAAATTGTGGGTTTGAAGTTAGAGTTACTATAAGATAATATTATGTATAATATTATGCTAAGTAACGACTTGAAATTGTTGCTATGAAAAATTGGGTGAAATACTGGCTAGAGCTCATGAATGAAGCTCTGTTAGTAGGAGCCTGCTTAAAAATAACGTTGAAGACAACATCGACAGGGAAGCCCGTTTTCAGAGAAACGCGTTTCCGTTTTAATTGAATACTATAATTGTCGAGTCCAGACTCGAACAGCGACCTGCAACAAATAGCACATGGAGTCTGCTAAGCAACGTTATAATCCCGACTGCGTGAGACCATGGCGAGTTCCGCGCGGCCGAAAGGAAATATTAGCGAAGTATTAAATAAAAAGAAATATAGGCAGCTGCAACAGGGATCCAGCAGGACCCGAACTGATTTCTCAAGCCGGGCCTCGCAAGACCAATGATTTACTCCTATAATGTGTGTGTGTCTGCCATTTAAATATAGGTGGTTTAAATATTCCTTAACCACTCGTATTTATATCCATTCGATTTTGATCAATAAGAAAGAAAAGCACATAATATGCACATACCCACTTAAAAATGAATCCTGCTTTCCAGTCTACAATCACTTGGATGCAGCGTCATTTAACGGCAGTGATGTTTTACCGTTTTTGCGCTGTTATTAGGGCCATTTTGCTCATGTCTTTTTAGCGCATTTTCTCATTTTAGAAAAAAATGCATTCGGTTATATTGTGCTCGCCATGTTCGTTTGTCCGTCCGTCCATCTGTCCGTCTGTCTGTCCGTCTGTCTGTCCGTCCGCGACTTCACGTTTTCGTCGACGAGAAAATGCACTCTCTGTCACTCACTACATGAAGTGAGTAATGAGTTATATTTTTTTGTTTATTTTCCTCCACAGACACAACTGGAGGTATTTTCGGTTCAAATGAACAGTCTTTGGATTATTTTCGAGCAATAACAAAAATTGGCAGTGGTATTTATAAAATTTTTATAAATTCTATCGAATATCGTATAATACGCCAATTGACTTCTTCGATGGGTTCAGCAACGCTCGTGCATGTGTGTGGCATGCAATAAGTTTGCCATCGTCTAACTATGCTGGCCATTCGATTATTGCTTTGATATCCTCATTGTTCGCTGTAGGCATCAAGTCAAATGAGTAGTATTGTTTTTCAGTAAATCCAAGGATTTTCTAAAGAAGAATTTGAGAGCAAAGAAAATGCTGAATAAATTCATTATATCTTCATTGATAACGTTTGGGCAACCAGCGCCTTCAGCAGTTCAAAAATGTTGAACTTGCAAATAAAATCAGCAGAGAAAATCAAAATTTATACAAAAGAGATTAAAATTAGTTTAACGAAAAATCGACAACGGAACATAAAAACCTATTGATTAACAATTTTCAGAGGAGAAGAAAAATAAGTATTTTTTATATAGTCACACTAGAGTTATTTAATTTCTTAGGTTTGAATTTTTCTTTTCTCGTGCACATTTCAGATTTTCACTGCTAATTGCACTTGCATTATATATTAAATTAAATCTAGAGCACTTCTCTGAAAACTTCTTGGACGGAAATATGGTTAATTTATTTGGTATTTTTATTGCTCTCAAATTCTTGGCGAACTTGCTATAAAAGTAAAAAATTTGCCATACATCTCTGTCATTATTTTTAGCGCATTTTCTCATTTATGGAAAAATTCACTACTGTGCTCGCCATGTCCGTCTGTCCGTCCGTCCGTCCGTCTGTTTGTCTGTCTGTCTGTCCGTCCGTGACTTCACGTTTTCGTCGACGAGGAAACGCGCTCTTTGTCACTCACTGCAGTGAGTACTGAGTTATATTTTTGCCTATCAGTATGAACTTGAGTGCAATCGATTAGCGAACATTGAACACGTCTGCGGGGTTCACAGAGCATTAATTCCTACATGAATTGCAGTTGCTGGTGCAAATGATATTGGTTAACCATAGCTGGCCATTCGGCGGCCTCGGATCAATCGGCCAAGATTTTATTCCGGGAACGTTTTTAGCTGAACTTCTGAAGTTTTTTCTGATAAGCACGGACTGAAAACGCTCGTTGAATTTTAAGCGTGTCGTGCGGTATTTAATGAATACCCAAACCTCAGTGTGCGGTATTTACTAAAAAATCAATGAAGAAAGGAAGGTTCGAGCCCTCATGGAGCTCTGTGTAATTATGACGTCAATCAGACAAGAAGAAAACATTTAATTTATCCACTGTGTTTCTCTGGTGTTAAGAAGAACTTGCATGGAATTTTGTGTGATTTTTCACTTTATTCTGGCTAGTCTCGTGTGTTTATTCATTTTATTCTCTGATTTTTTTTTTAATTTATACACATGCATTTTTTTATATTGATCACATTTAAAAATCAAGTACGATAATATTTTAGGTTCTTGAAAACTTTTAGGCAAAGGGAATGCCTAGAGAGATCGCAATATTTTCGCTATAAACCTCGATCTAGTAGATCAGCTCAGTTATTAGTTTAAAAACTTGAAAAATCAAAGTTGAAACAATTTAATAATTTATATAAAGCATTTGAAAAACACGAAGGACGCGCTAAAGTGAAAATCAATTTATTGAGCTCATTATAACTTGAGGCGCATTTTAGACACGGGTTGGTTTCAATATGTTCATAGATTCTTGATTTTTTAATCTTAAGTCTCAGAATTGGAGGCGATGATTTAGTAGTTTGCAAAATCTCTTGAAGAAGTGGGCACTATCGGCGTGCCTGTAGCAGCCCTATGCCTGTAAACGCAAGGTAAGCGCTGTCTCTTATACACATCTAGATGTGTATAAGAGACAGTNACTTGTTATCAAGAATCATTTATCATGACTTGTTATCAAGAATCATTTATCATGACTTGTTATCAAGAATCATTTATCATGACTTGTTATCAAGAATCATTTATCATGACTTGTTATCAAGAATCATTTATCATGACTTGTTATCAAGAATCATTTATCATGACTTGTTATCAAGAATCATTTATCATGACTTGTTATCAAGAATCATTTATCATGACTTGTTATCAAGAATCATTTATCATGACTTGTTATCAAGAATCATTTATCATGACTTGTTATCAAGAATCATTTATCATGACTTGTTATCAAGAATCATTTATCATGACTTGTTATCAAGAATCATTTATCATGACTTGTTATCAAGAATCATTTATCATGACTTGTTATCAAGAATCATTTATCATGACTTGTTATCAAGAATCATTTATCATGACTTGTTATCAAGAATCATTTATCATGACTTGTTATCAAGAATCATTTATCATGACTTGTTATCAAGAATCATTTATCATGACTTGTTATCAAGAATCATTTATCATGACTTGTTATCAAGAATCATTTATCATGACTTGTTATCAAGAATCATTTATCATGACTTGTTATCAAGAATCATTTATCATGACTTGTTATCAAGAATCATTTATCATGACTTGTTATCAAGAATCATTTATCATGACTTGTTATCAAGAATCATTTATCATGATCGCTTTCACTGTAACTGGCAGCTCTGCGTGTTCAAGTACTTCATTGGTAAGACGTGGACGATCGAGGCAATAAAACAAACTTATCGACCAACTTAAGACGAATTATCGCTAATGCTGCATTCAAAAGCAGTCAGAATATTTTAAGTGAGTGCTCCGTTATCACAAACATACTTTCGGGGCCTGTGAAGAACAGGTCAAGGCCTGTACTGCACTTGACTGATGGATTCCGAAATAAAGTATTTCGATGTATCACGTTATAATGATAGGAATAATAAGAGCGGTGTCAGCGATGATTAGGTCATCAGGCACGTTGTCTATTCAGAACATCACAAATTTTTCACAGCTTGTTGAGAGTCTCGAATATGCAACTCATTTCTAAAATCATGATGCGCTTAACCGCCCTATCGTCTCGCCGATTTTGACAAGAACTGTCCCAGGAAGCTATTGTCGAACCCGCAACTCACTGATCCAATTTAGGTGCTCTGAACCTTAAGCCGGCCACCCTGCTGCTCTTATTCATAATAACATTCTGAATACTATTCTCGAATCCTTCCTGCTTATAACCGCTTGGAACTTCTACCTTTTCGGACTACAATCACTTTCATTTTCAAAAATATTCATCAATACACGAGTTCAATTTGAACCATTTACGAAAAAGTCAATATTATTAAACACCCTGCAATGAAACACAGTGACTGCGTATTAAATTTAGAAGCTGAATGAAAGGTAAATCCATTAATTTTAATGGATTTGCCATTCAAATTAATTTAAAAAAGTATAATTAATAAATTAAAATTTTAATTAATACTTTTTTCTCATTTCATTAATACAAAATATTTGATTTCTTAACAAATTTTGTCTTTCAGATTTTGCCAGCAGCAGATTTTGATAAGTAGTGATGGTACTAATAAATCTGCCCGACACACGTTTTTTTGGGGCGAACCATAATTTATTTTCTACTTTTTAGTCCACAAGAAAAACGTGTTTTTTTTTAAAGTTTTTTTAAGTATTTTATTAGTTTATGTAAGGATTTTTAAATTTGCTTTTAGAAAATTTGTGGTTTTGTGTATGAACAGTCAATTGAATGAAGCATTTCATATCCTGCGACGAGTTAATTACTCAGTGTTAAAAATTTTATAGTTTATACGAAAGACTCTTAATTAATTATTTCTATCGTAGAGGTCGTCTTCATTATTCCATTTGATTGTATTTTGTTTTAGCCTCAGGTTGTTATAATTTCGTGGCAAAAAAATTCTGCATGAAATGTGAAATTTTCTATCACATGAAAAAATAAAGAATTGATGTTTGGCGAAAATCACGAACTTGACTGTTCGTGACCTTCTGTTGATGTGGTCGCCATGAGCACCGCTGGAGCCTGCCAATCATTCATCAATCATTCATAAAAATTTGCGTCTCGCCTGAGAAATGCCGCTTCACGCGCTATCATTCATCAGTAATTCATGGTTACGACGTACTCACTCACCGGGATTACTTAGATACCGCGGCGGAACTCCGCGCTTTGAGACTCAGCCTCAATTCTCAATGCCTGCTGGATATCTGAAGTTGCTTCGACTCAATGAACGATTTCACGAACAAATTATGGCAAAAAGATTATATGTATTTTGCAGCTTATTTTTGCGTCCTGCTGCTGATTAAATATATTCTGACATATATGTGAAACTGTGAAATGCTAAAGCTGAGCAATATAAACGACTGAAAAATATTCTTTTAATATTTAGAATCAGATTAGAAACGCAGCCACCATATTGATTATTCTGTTCAATTTATTGTTGACCGTAAATTCACAACTTAACCTACAAAAAGCAGGCATTTAACTTACATCAACATCATGTGAACATCGCTAACGACCACGGCCGTCACGTGAGGCCACGTGTTGCTCGATCATTGCGTGACATTCTACACGAGACCGACACTTACCATTGATGTTCTCTGCAAAACTTGATGATCGCGGCATGAAGCTTGAAATTATCATAGCAGAATAATTGTGAGATTACTGCAAGTCAATAATGTGTGATTTGAGACCTCAAATAAAATAGTATTCATGATATTCTAAAATCGAAAAATACGATAGAAATAATATACGATTTGAGACCTGGAATAATTTAGTATTAAAAGTTACAATTATTACAAAATAATACTTAATTTGAGACACTATTGTTACGAAGTGATTGTTTCTTCATTAAATATAGCTGGTCCTCCAAGATTGGTTTCCACTGCAGAATTGTTGTGCTGGTGATGGCAATATTAGTTTTGATCTTTACTTACATGTTTGGTGGTGATATGGGAATTAATGGTAGCTTACACTGATATGTCTAGTATATCTGGTGATAAATTCAGGAATGGTTGAAATTTTTTACAAATTCGGAAGGATGAATTCAACGCCAAATTAAATACCATGAAAAATAAAAAATGTTTAGAGTCCATCACGGATTAATGTTAACAATCATTAATGTATCGTTGCCTGTTATCTGATTAATGTAATAGAAAGCCCATTAAACCATAAATGCTTGTCATCTTAATGTTAATAGATAACCCATTTAAGCATTAATTACTNTTACACTGATATGTCAAATATATCTGGTGATAAATTCAGGAATGGTTGAAATTTTCTACAAATTAGGAAGGATGAATTCAACGCCCAATTAAATACCATGAAAAATAAAAAATGTTTGGTGTCCATCACGGATTAATGTTAATAATCATTAATGTATCGTTGCCTGTTATCTGATTAATGTGATAGACAGCCCATTAAACCATAAATGCTTGTCATCTTAATGTTAATAGATAACCCATTTAAGCATTAATTACTGCTTCGCATCTGATCAACGTTAACAAGCAATACTGCTTCAATGCTTGTTATAAGACGAGTGAGCGAGGTAGATACCCTCCTGGCTAATGACGGCGAAACCACGTTGATTATTACAATAGTTTAATTTCGCTAAAACAACGTTCAATCAACGTTATTTCAACGCCAAATACCTGTTGGGATACACGAACATAATTTTCATGCGGCGATCACTCACCTCGACTTTGGTAGCCGATGGATAGTTGGCGTATTCCTTGACGATGAAGTAGCAGTGGAAGGCGCACAGGATGAGACAGATCAGGAAGATCAACACCCAAAGGATCTTCCGACACAGGAACACCGCCCTGATATACGACGGACAATTTAACCCATATTAAAAATTAATGTCAAAGCGATATAGTGAGGTTGTTCCAGAGCCCGATAAATAGAACCGATATTTATTGTTTTTCCTAACCTTTGGTCATGCGTCCCAAGCAATGTCAGGAGAATTAAAAAATTGTTAAGAAATACTTTCCGAACATTAATCGTCATATTTCATTGGTGAACAATTTCAAAACAGGCTCTTTCTTTAGGTACAAAGATATCCTCCCTTTTCATATGCGATCGTCCGTGGTTTATATATATAGTTGTGCACGATGTGCATCTGCGTACGTTGGAATGACGGCACGCAACCTTTACACTAGGGTCACTGAACATAGAGGGAGGAGTTTAATAGGCCTCGGCAGTTACTTTCGCGCCCTCCTCATTCGGCTGTGCGCACTCACGCCAAACAGTGCAACAACGTTTCAATGTCCGATACTGACTTTAAGGTTTTAGCTTCTAGTTCTGAGGCCATACTTTTAAAACTCGCTAAGTGAACGTAAGTACTTACGCTCTGTTTTCTTGTTTATAATTGGTCGATTTTGCTTGAAAGGCCGTCAATGATTGGCGGATGAACTTACGATCTCTTAACTTTTTTTGAAAGTATAGGTCCTGGTGCATCCGATCTGCGTATTTTAGAATCATTGTTTATTTTCAAAGATAGACCTAGTTTAAATGCAACCTTTAGCTCTTATACGCTATAAATTGTGAACATATAGGTTTTCCGTGTTTTTTTTTCCTTTCTTGCTCTGTCTTTTGTTTTAGGCTTAGGTTCTAAATTTTGTGTTTTTTTTTCTAATTTCGACTGTTTTAACTTCAGATTGTATCGGTGTTCTAGATTTTTCGAACTGACGATGGAGTTGGAATCCGAAACGTTCTTAATGAAGACATGGTGAATTTGTGTGGAGTTTTCTTTGCGTTTAAATTTCTATTGAATTTGTGATTTGACCAGTCTAGTGACATTTGTAAGCTCAGAGAAGAGAAGGTTCATCAGGTATACCGTTGAATGTGGTGTGTTTATCAGAGTTTTGCGCCCTATTATTAATGAATATCAGAGGTACCTTTACCGAGTTCATATAAGTGGAGGGTGGCACACCGAGCCCACTCATCATTTCAAAACTCTAAGTAATAACAGGCTGTTCAAAGTTGGCTTGCATGCTTATTACTGCATGGTTAACTACCGGAGGCTCGAATCAATACATGCAGCATTCTAACTAATATCTAAGCAAGTGAACAGTGGTCGTGATGTTTTGAAGTGTCATGACCCTCGAGAGTGCCGAACTTTTGTTCTTATTGTGCTCTGCAAGAGCCTTAACACTCATTTATAGAGATGGGGTTCAATGAATCGATCGTATTAATGAATAAAGACATCGGCTTTTAACATTTCCTGTAACGACGTGAGTAGTTACAGGAAAATCATAATTCGTCTACAACCGGCTTGAATTTGACTTGCAACACAGAACTTCCAACAGACCTTTCACGTGTTCGGTAATTCTTCTTTTACACGACTGCCTTTGTGAAATTAGATATTTTTGCACCCTTCATCCAATTCTGACTATCCATACTTCAGCGCATCCCTAGAAATAGGCAAATGAATGGTATACTCGAATTCCCTATATTGTGCGGGTAGAAAAAACGAAGTACACCAATGTATCAAATGGTCTTGGAAGACTTCATGTATCTGCAGCTCATTAATGTTCTAGTACATGCTACTGCAATCATGAGCTCAAGCTAAAAGTTTACATTTGCTATGTGATTCAACGAAGCAATGCAATTTTTTTAACTTGAATGTGTTTTTGTAACCCTTAGTATGGGATATAGAATTTTTTTTTGCCTTTGTAATTTGTTTCCAGTAGCCGAAGAGGGTAAACGAAAAGTTCGTAACACGTACGATCGTACGTTCGATTTGGTCGAGAATTCCGATTTCTTTTTAAAAATTGGGGAGTTTAATTTAGAATTCGAATCGCAAGTAGCTGCCGTAGTTGAGGTGTGTAACTTCTGGGCTCCTGGTAGCAATGATACTACGAACATACCAGCCCCATTTCCTGATCTCAAGAATTAAAATTTGTCATGCTGATCTGAATGAGATCAGCACGAATGCTACAACGTAACAGGGGTGACACAGGATAACTCTGCTACATTTGGTGAGATTCATGCTGCTGACGTCAGACGGGTCCAGAGTTTGAACTCGGTACCACAAAAACTGATCGCTTACGTAAGAAATACTAGTATGTGTCTTATGTGTCTAGTATTACTGTGTCTTATGTCTAATGTGTTTTACAACCTAGCTTTCGGTGCTACAAGCACATTTAGATCCGGCAGGCAAAGTTCACGAAGAAATTATTTGTTTCGGGGTCACCATTCGTTCTTGTGCCGCTATTTTGTTGTAAGTTTCATTTCTTATGAAATAAGACTTTTAGGAATACAAGTGCATGAGAACGGCTCCGTGGGGGCTGTACTCATGTACTCACCAGTGCACGCGGGCTGGTCCGTGGAGGTTGTACTCATGTACTCACCAGTGCACGCGGGCTGGTCCGTGGAGGCTGAATAGTGGCAGAGATTAAATCCTTATTACTGAGACACAGAGAGCTTGTCGTACGGCCTGGCCTGGTTCATTATGTAATTCTTGTTTATGTCGTTTGATTCACTCGAGAAAATGAGCTAGACTTTGTATCAGCCAGAGGCGAAAATGCTTCAACTCATAGCCGGCAAAATCAGATGGTTTTCTTCTTCAGCCAGCAAGTTGAAAGAAATACTCTTTTAATGGAAAACTAAAAAACGGCAGGTTTTGATGTTACAGCCAATTAAAGTTTTTCCCGTAGGGGTGAATTAAAAAGCTGAATAATGCAGGAGCACCATAAGTGAATGTAAAAGAATAAGTGAATATTTTTTATAATCCATTAGAGCCGTATGCATGCAGTCTTCAAAAGTGTTGGGAAAATTTCAGTTATTTCTAATTCACAATCCTGCCAATTTAAGTTAAATTTTTCAACAATGCCGCGAGAAAGTGATGATAGTTTCAAGTTCGCCATGCGACGTACCTCTGCGTCGTAAGGATGGCAATTTTATTCCAGTGATAATTGATGATGAAATTTTACTATTAAAATTTGTTTTTTCTAACTATTTCATGTTAATGTTTCGATATAACAAGCATGTGAGCTTGCCGAGGGAAAGTCTATGTTATGAATATTGAACGATGAATCTCTCAAGAATTATCAAATGTCGACCATCAAGGGTGCATGCTGGACAAAATTTCATCGTAAAGGAGCATAAAACATTCAATGATGTTCTCTCAAAAACGAAAATCTTTATTAAAATTCTACTTGTATTATTTTCAAAAAAATCACGTGTTTCTGAATACGCATTAGATGAATTATTTCTAGCGCATTTTCTCATTTATGGAAAAAAGGCGCTATTGTGCTCGCCATGTCCGTCCGCCCGTCCGTTTGTCTGTCTGTCCGTCCGTGACTTCACGTTTTCTTCGACGAGAAAATGCGCTCTTTGTCACTCACTGCAGTGAATACTGAGTTATATTTTCTATCATTATGAGCATTGCTTCATCATGCTGAGTGCCGCCATGTCAACATAAGTGACCTCTCGACCTCACGCACGTATGCGTGTGCATTTCGTGATCACTTCTCGCGCTGTTATTCCGTAATGCGGAAGCTTTCACAATTCCCAAGCCCACTATCGCAGAATATTATATGCTAATATTGGTAAAAATCTCAGTCTTATACTCTCAGGGATTTTTTTTTTTACAGAAACACAACTCACGCTTTTATTATTCAAGAATAATTGCACGAATATTTGTTAAGCGCGAAAATTTTTTGCGCAATTTAGAAATAAAAACATTGAGCCGAAGCTCATGCCGTGATTGCAAATACCAGATATTGGTCTGATATTTGCATGCAATCAGACCATCAGCACTCTCACGTTATGAATATGGCGCCGAGATCGTGCGTAAACTGCATGAGCGTACCTAAATGAGCGTACCTAAGTGAACGCTCATGTGCTGCTGGTGTTGGTATAATCTAATCATTGATTAATCTAAGTTATAATTCTGCTCATATGAGTATAATATTCACGAAAATAGCTATGATATCCGCAGCAATCATTACAATAATCGCATTATTCACTCTAATATCCGTTAAAATCGAAGTAGAATTTTTTGCAATCAATGCAACATTTGCCGCAATCTTTATTATACTCGCTGAAATCATTTTAATATTTGCTACGAAATACTGATGTAGAAAATTTCGCAATTGGTTTTATAGTTCAAAATAACTAATAAAAATTTAATCGTAATATTTTTTTTAATTTCAGAAGGTTTTAACTGGACAAATTGAACATTTTAAACCGTAGCCATNTTTATTTCGTCTTCAAATCACTGCAAAGGTAAAGGTGGCTTTTTCCAATAAGTAATTGCTCTGTTAATACTGAAACTCCGAAAAAAATCCACTATAGGACTTGAATGTGAATTTATTATTATAGGTAATATTTATAATATTTTATCATAGTTTATTACAAAAGAAGCTAGAGCTTCTAATACTATGTTATTCTGCCTAGAGCGGGAATTGATCTGAGGGCAGAGATTTAACCCTTACCTGACAGCATTATTTATATGCTGATATATATTTAACTGAAACTTTATAATCGTACCAAGATTTGGTAAAATGTTTCTCTGCGATCCCACAAGGGGATATTGTTTGACAAATGCAGCGCTCTGCTCTGACGAAGGTCCACTTTTTTAAGGCCTTATGATCCCGTCGGGGAAAATAGATCCTGTCTTCATTCTCGGTACAGCCCACGTCCACACTGGGGCATCGAATTAAACTTTAACCATATGCGGCCCACCAGCAACTCTGAAATTCCATGTCTAGTTTTTTCCACTTGATTTATATAAATTTTAGCAATTTTTGAAGCACTAACTGAACATTCAAAACAGCGTGCAGCATACTTTATTAAAGGTTAATTCTACAGTCATTAAGTTAAGACCACTAACCCAAGGTAGCTGTGGTAGAGCGCCCATTTCTTATCCTTTGAGCTGTAGTTGTAGGCGAGGTCCAGCTCCGCCATTGGCTCAGACGACATGTTGGACGATGAGGGCACCCACTCCTGCTCACAGGCAATTGCAAGTATTGGGTCAATACGCAGAACTTTGCTGTACGTATACTCAAATAATACAATTAACATGAAACGATAAATTAAGTGATTAATTCTAAGTCAAGGTACAACTAAATTCGCTACAAAATTGGCAAGTTGGGGCACACGAAGTAATTTATTTAATTTAATGTGAATATATTGAATAAACAATTAGTCGTCCACGATTCACTTAAGGTTCATCTGTAACGAAATCACCCAGAATTATTGAATAAGCCAACGAATTTTAAGACACACATATGAAAATTAAATAACTCTTTGGTTTCAGCTTCATATTTCTTATTTAAACTGGTAAACACAACTGTAAACTTTGTAAACGCTCCCAGCGACAACAGTTGTGGCCTCGCTAAGTTCGACTGCCAGTGGAGAGCCGGAGCGGCATGCAGTTAGGCTCATCAGAAGCACTTCATGCTATTTCTTCAAGCTCTGATTAAAATATTCATTTATGGGATTGTTTTTAGTGAGGGTGCAAAGCAAATAAATTATAATTGAATTCGTTTTTAGTTTTATTTCAGTTCTGTTTTTTGGGAGAAATTCAATTTTATTTACCATTTAATTATTTCTTTATAAACATTAAATCATCACTATAAATATTATGAAAGAAATTCGCAAGTTCTTGATATCTGGGTCGCATTGGGTTCACGGAACGCAAGTGACTTAGTAAGAAAGCTAACAAAATCAGTCAAACGATCTCAGGTAAAAGACGTTCCAGTGTACTCAGAAAACGTACCTCTACAAAAGACGTCCGGGGTACTGGCCAAAACGTACCTCTACAAAAGACGTCCGGGATACTGGCCAAAACGTACCTCAACAAAAGACGTCCGGAGTACTGGCCAAAACGTACCTCTACAGTAAAACTATTTATCGCAAACTTCGGAGATGCATACATGCAAACAAGGAGTCCATTAAATTTACAGAAATTCATATTCTGCGAATTCTTATGAATTATTTGAACTAAAATTGTTATGGTGTTCGTGTAGAGATGTCGTAGCACCACGCTAAGCATTATCTCCGCAATATCATGATTGTTATAGTTAACAATGACAAATTATGATTTATCATAATTCGATCCACCATAAAAATTAAAACTCATCAAATAAATAAATAAATTACTTTCGCTAGTCGGTTGGTTGTCGAACTTCGAAAGTTGACATATCTTGAAGATTTTATTTTGTATTTCATTATAAATAATTTGCAGAAATTTGTTGATCAACATTATTTAGGAACTTTTACGGCATCTTGAGTGTTTGCATTTTTATAACAAAAATTTTTTTTGCTGTGTTTAAAAAAAGTCATAAAAATTTATTCGAAATGTCATAAAATAACATTCATTAACAAATTACACTCTAGGAAATAAAATAGTAAAATTATTGTTTGAGTTAATGTTATATAATTATTTATTTTAATTGCTAATTTGTAATATAAATTAATTAAGTGTTTGTTAAATATGCGTAGTTAAATTAATACTTCATGAATTACGGTTATTTGATTATTTATTTTAATTATTACAATTGTTTTAATTATTTTTATTTATGAAAAATTATTGATAAGGAGCGATTTGTGATACTGTTTTATATCAAAAATAATAGAAATCAGTGAGATGCACCATAATTCGCCGCGTCTTTGGGGTGCTCAAAAAATATGGAAATTTTGGCTGCAAATTTTTTATTTCTGCAACTCTTACGAGGGTAAAATTACAACGAGAATACGGAACTGATTATTATCAATAACTTCTATCAGGCATTTGCATGCATTTCTTAAAAAATAATAAATTATTTATTAGTAGGTTAAAAATTCGAAGCAAAATTAATTCAGCTTAACAAATGATTTCTATCTCTCATGTACATTTTATAGTTGAAATCATTGAGTCTATTTATTAAATACCACACCCAATATTTATAATTATTCATATGCTTGACAAACTTTAGTATAAATCAACTAAGAAAAAAATTCTGTTCAGGCATAATACTAGATCAATTTATCATTATCTTTAATAAATTAGCAAGTTTTATTGTGAAGAAAAGTTTGTTAATAACACTCACAGGTTGCAGGTCTAGCTGAGGCGTCACAGCCACCGAACCTCGAGCTCCAGAGAACAATTCTCACAACTCTTTCAGTACGAATGTAGTGTCTTTTGAGCACTCAGTTCTTTATTATACCTTTAAATTTTTAAACAAAACTATTGGAAACAGAATTAATTTGTGAGTATAATCATCAATTGTATTCGCTAATTTAAAATATCTGGAATGAGGAGAAATGATGCTACGGACGAAGTTGCTGCAACTAAAATTAAAAATTAATTCAAATACTTAAAAAATTAAAACTGCACCCTCTTGTTGTTCAATGAAAAATATGGTTTGCTATTGAATAAGGTAAAGGGATGCCAGAGATTTGAGGCAGAAACGGAAATGTATTTAGCTGAGAAAAAAATTCGTTTCAGCAGCGAGGTGTCGAGATGGCCTTCTGAATCAACGAACAGAGCGTTAATTGAAACACTTTAATGCTTTAATGCAGGCATATCAAGAGCTTATTCTAGGCAGTAACTGCATGATCAATGCAAGCCAACTAAATTACTGATTGTTTACTGTAAATTCTTTGTGCGTAATTTTCCTGACGCTCGTAGGGGTCACAGAATAATTTCAAAAATGATAAGAATGAAGGCATCCAAAATGTATCGAGGTTCTAGAGAAGCGGACTAATCAATACTAATCACCGAAAAAATTATCACAAAATGTATGTATAAAGAATTGATTGATGTATAAAGAATTGATAGATGGTCATTAACGAGACTCGCCCCGCTAATCACAGAGGCATCGCCATGGCGTCCAAAGGCCGCACGCTTCCAAGTACCATTTATTCTAAAGTATTTTCATAGTTCATAAATTAATGAGCACAGGTACAATCTATCAAATGCATTCATCGTTTCACTACGATTGCATTCATGAAATAATGAATACGGAATTCAATACATGCAGAATAATCAGCTTAGCTAGAACCATGCATCTTAAATACATTGAATAGATTTCGCCTGGAAATTATGTCCGTTTGTTTATTTGTGTGACTGGTGAAAGATTTGTAAATACGGCTTTATAGGATGAAGTGTAGCTCCTTGAGTAAGTTTATTCTTACAGAACGTTTCCTAAAAGACCTAGAGCGCATCTGCTTCTTCATTAGTTCCAAATTACATACCGGTATATGAGTATAAAGGCTGAAATAGTACCCGATTTTTTTATTAATTACCTGTAATTGAAAAGGTTCATTGCCTTAAAACAATGATTTGAAAAACACTGAACAAATTGCCCTGAAAAATCGCAAATTTGTTTGAAAATTGGAGGTGATTTTCAAGGGCTACTCTAATGTCGTCAACATTTAGGGTAAAGAAGTTCTGTGGGAAGCATAGATAGTTAGATACCAGAAAAATACGAATTTCAGTATATCATTGGAAAAATAGCATATTTTTTCTTATAGAAAATCTTTCTGATAGCAGAAATTGTAATAAAAAGCTTTCTCGTTTCTGCTTTGCTTTCTTTGCAGTTAGAAAAAATGCAAGGGACAGAGTCTGTTTATAGTATGGTATACCCAAAATATAGTTTTCTACGAATTAAATTCGAAGAAAATTTTTTTACCCCAAATGATACTGAACAAGAAAGGAAATTCAAGATCAACGAGATAATCTAAATTCCATTCATTCATTAGATAAATCATCATAGTAAGGCAAAAGAAATGCGATTAAATTCCTTCAAGGAACATGCAATTGAAAAATGGGATAGTAAGTATCATTGATGAGTCGAAGATTTTCTTTTCTTGGTTTCTTCTCTTGGATTAAACTGGGAACGAGCTTGCCTACGGACTCAGGTTGGAACATAACATCTGCTACCAAATTGAAGATGATACGCAGAAATATAAAGAGAGGTAATGAAAGAAAGTCATAGCGCAATTTTTAAGAAAACCCATCGACAAAGAAGAAGCAACAGGTTCATGTGCTACAGGGTTGGCGTCAATGGTAGTGCTGCTTCAGGTGGCGATGGTGCTGCTGGTGTAGGTGGTGGTGGGAGGGTGGTTCCGGTGGTGGTGGTGGTGCTTGGTTTTGCGGAGTGGGAGGTTAACGTGAGACTGTGATGGAGTTTTAGTGACGTCATATGAACAGAAATAGACGCACGTTGATGCGGTTAATTTTACCAGCGCTCATTTCGCAAATCTTTTGTATTCTATAAATCTATAAATGCGATCTGTGTTCAGTCAGTTTACGCTGCAGTTCTTTTGTTTCCAGCTGCCTGCGCGGCTGCAAGTCTTACAGCTCGAACTTAATAAGCAGGCAAATGGGAAATGTTTGTTGCAGCAGCTGTTGACAGCTCTGTCGAGGTTAAGATATTAGCAGCGCCTTCTTTGTCTAACATCTGCTCTGCGCAACACCGTTCTTAAAATGCGATCTGTGTTCAGTTTCTTTACGCTGCAGTTGTTTCGTTTCCAGCTGCTGCCTGCGTGGCTGCAAGTCTTGCAGCTAGAACATAATAAACAGATATATGGTAACTGTAGCAGCAGCAGCAGCTGTTGACAGCTCTGTCGAGGTTAAGATATTAGCAGCGCCATCTTTGTCTAACATCTGCTCTGCGCAACACCGTTCTTGCAACGCCTCAACTCTGTTCGGAAAAATGCATTCCCAGCCATTAATCTTTTTCCAGAAACGTGGCTTCTGACTTTTGTTTTCAAATCCAGATAAACCTTACTACCGCTGTATATGTTGCATTGTATAATTGTTTTAAAGTGAACAGCATTTTTGTGCAACGTCATTTGTTGTCGACATGGTAGTGAAATAGATCACATTTACAAAATGCAAAAAGCCAGATATATTGGTAAGTAGTAACAGTACTCTTTCATGGCCTCGCCTTATATCAACTATATTTGTTTTAGTCATTAAATTGCATACAGTAGGTACGTCGTACGTGGTAGAACGAATTGCTGCTAAGTGCAAATGCAGTTGGTAAATTATCTATCATTGCAAGGTGGCAGTTCCGCGCATGCGTCGGCGCCTCATTCATCTGCAGGCCCCCAAAATCCAAATCGTCCTGGAACACAGTGCGGCTACAGACACCGTCAAGTGTCGTGCGCTCATTGCTCTCCTCCGTCGAACTTGCATATCACCAAACAAAGGAAGGAAAAACTCGGAGCATTGATGCAACCTGTCTGTTGAAAACCCTGAGCAATATTCCGAACATTCTCTTGTCGTCAATCCTGCTCTGGAATTGTTTTACACAAAATCGATGACACTAGATAAGAGGATGTGGAGTTTGATGTTTGCGTGGGCGTTTGTGGTTGTACCGCAAGCATATGGAGCCGCTGTAAAGAAGGTAAAGACTTTCGCTCGACTGTAATGTCTATTTATACATTATCTGGTATTTACTGGTGAATTTATTTTAGTCTCTGAAATATCTTATATTGAAATTCTATTACTTTTCAAGCAAATTTTGGTTTGCTTGTAAGCGTGAAATTTTTGCGTGAGTCAAGCCTAGACAGGCTAGAGTCTCTACTTAGTAGAGTCTAGGCTTGTAAAATTAGTAGAAATAAAAAATAACGCATGTTAGCCATTCAAGACCAATTATGTTATATTTTAGAGAAGGAACAATGAACATACAACAACAACTGTCAATAGCAAACAATCTTCCCGGCAAATTCAACTGGAAAAAGTAAATAACAAAATTTTCCTTAAAAAAATTTTGTTGACGTAGTGAAATAAAACTTAGGAGATTGCTCCCAATATTCAAGTACCTAACTTGCGTCTGGTAACAATCAGTCTACGGATATTGAGACCCCATGATCAGATAGCTTTTTATTAAGTTTTTAAGTACAAATTTTCAGAACTGTACGACATACGTTGCAAGTAGCCTAGTTGAGTGCCTCATCTCATACCGCTGTGCTAATGGTGTCTTCATTATGATTTACCAGATATTTTAATATCGATATAATATTTACTGATTTACTAATCAACATGTATTATGATCCATCAACCTATTTACACTCAACTTCGGATCTATTTCTCACTCAACTTCTGATCTATTTCTTGTGGCTGTACCATTATACTGCTCTTCTGATTCATTTCTACATATCTACTGAGCGATTCTGCTGATCTACTGACGCATTGCTTACTAATGTATTGAAAAATTTCTAGTAATCTATTTCTTTTGATGCGATGGTTTGACCATTTCTACTGATAAAGTGGCCTATTTCTACGGATCAACTGACATATTTACTGATCTACTACCGTAAACTTCCGACCCACAGTCGGAATCAGCGTTCGAGCTGCGCCACCACAACAACATGGAACTGCAGCTCGAGCTGAAGGCGGTCGAGCAGCGCTGCCCTGACATCGCTCACGTCTACGCCCTTGACGAGCGCTCTGTCAGAGGCTTCCCTCTCTGGGTGCTGGAGCTCTCTGACCACCCAGGCACCCATGAGATACGTGAGTCATGGGGGGTGCTAGGGTGGAGTGGGGGGCTGCCCTCTCTGGGTGCTGGAGCTCTCTGACCAACCAGGCACCCATGAGATACGTGAGTCTTAAAGCCTGATGTCAGTTGGTTTATTAAGATCAGCTGGTATTTATATCAACTTGATTACCAATTTGTATTGTTGATTGCTGACGTATTGTTGATTTGTTTATATTTCTGTAGCTGACGCCTAACAATATGCATTCAGTACCCATACCATGTTTTGATCCTTTGATCTGTTTTTAATCATGTTTTATGTGCTGCAATTTACATAGCTAATAACACTCACATGATCCTGTTAAGGTAAAAACACGAGCGTCTGGCACGCTTCGATAATAATTATCATTATTTTAGCTACACTATCGTGCATCATCACAACATGAAGCGATAAACATGAGCGAGCCGAGCGATTTCTATTAAGTTCGGTGAAATATGGCATTGGGTCTTTAAAATAAATAATTAGGTAGCCAGCCAGACGATAATTAAATTATTCATGGCAGGCTCGATTACAATGATGTGTAAATAAGCTGGCCTTGGTGCATAAACGATAACCTGATGCACTTGCTCAAGGTTCTCCTCACGAGTCTTTCAAAAGCTTCTCGAGACAGAATGTGTTTTGCTTCAACATTGAAGCAAGGATAAAAAAACTAAAATTGAATGGTCAATCTGGTCTGGATTTTATTCGCTAACCCCTGCAATCTAACCGATCTAATCTAAAAACCGATCTGCAATTTATCCGATCAGATCTAACCACCGAATAAGTTAAATCTGTTCACTTGTTTTCACACTCAATAATTGGAATGAAACTCATTCATTTTGTTTTTTTTGAAGCCTGAGAACTATTAAAAAAATTAACGCTCTGTGAGGGCTGCCTAGCGCCTTTGCTAGCTCACTTTATAAATATTGCAAAAGCAGATATTTCTTACCTCTATGCTGCCTACGTAATGTTCATAACAACGCTGCAATTATGTTTACAACAGCTAAAATCTGTTTAAAAATGCTGTGCTATTTTTATTTGATTGCTTGAGCGAGATGAGGGCTGTTGGTGTAATATAGATATAATTTTGTATAATATATACAATCATCATTTTAAGAAAAGCTACTTTGTGGAGAACAGCTATTTCGCACTCGAGTGATGACTTCAACAATTAGATTCGAGGCTGCGCTTGCCGGCAAATCGGATTTTGAGCCTCTGTAATTCAACTTACGGTCACGTTGCCTGCCGCTGCCTGGCTCCTCTGGACAACAGGCAAACTATAGGCAAACAGAACATGCAGGAACACAACATAGGTGTACAGAACATGCAGGAACACAACATAGGTGTACAGAACATGCAGGCACACAACATAGGTGTACAGAACATGCAGGCACACAACATAGGTGTACAGAACATGCAGGCACACAACATAGGTGTACAGAACATGCAGGCACAAAGATTAGGCAAACTAATGAGGAATGCAGAATAGACATAAATACAAGTACATAGACCAGCGTTACAGAACAGGGAAACTCAACCTCGTAATGTTTTGCTGAATGAATTTAATTGAATGCGTTTGACGATAGCAGTGGAGGCCATGGCTTCGTGGTTTAGTTGATATACTTTTTTTTACTTTTGAAACTATAGAATGATTCATGGCTTTAAATAAATACAATAATAGTGCAGTAACGGGACGAATCAGCATTCATTATTTGGCTAGCACACAACATAGGTGTACAGAACATGCAGGCACACAACATAGGTGTACAGAACATGCAGGCACACAACATAGGTGTACAGAACATGCAGGCACAAAGATTAGGCAAACTAATGAGGAATGCAGAATAGACATAAATACAAGTACATAGACCAGCGTTACAGAACAGGGAAACTCAACCTCGTAATGTTTTGCTGAATGAATTTAATTGAATGCGTTTGACGATAGCTGTGGAGGCCATGGCTTCGTGGTTTAGTTGATATACTTTTTTTTACTTTTGAAACTATAGAATGATTCATGGCTTTAAATAAATACAATAATAGTGCAGTAACGGGACGAATCAGCATTCATTATTTGGCTGAACGTCTTATTACAGACCTTACTCGCAGACGGCCAGTAATTAGGTTACTAGAGTCAAAATACTTTGTGTGCCGCCAAAACTAAAATTATTATGATTGTATATTTATTGAAAATTATTTACTCCATAAATATAGCATTTTATTTTTGTGGGAATCGAAGATTTTTATGGGATTCAGCGCCTGTATAGAAAGGGCGGTTTGTGGCATTTATACGTGAAATTAGGTAGTGGCGGCAGAGACCAGAGCGGCTCAGGATTAACGGTGTGGAAAGCAGCTATTGTGGTACCGCAGAAAGTAATATGAGAGGCAGCGCGTGTGTAGGAGCTAATATCTCCACAACACAAAGACCATATTGCCATTGTTGGTCGAATGCAGTGATTAGTTGAGAATGAAGACGACGAAATAATTTCAGCGAACGTGCATCAGGCAACTGCGATGGTTTCGACAGTGGTCATGGGCTAGCATGATGGCTCACTGGTGCGGCTAGGGCATCTAGTTATTGAGGTATATAAGTGAAAGTATAAGTTCACGTATATCTATAACACTGCCTTGACAGAAATAGGTTATTTCCCGACGTTATCGCGGTGTTATAGGTGAAGGAAAATAGCGTCTTCGAACTTAGCGGCGTCATATACCGGTATGTACGTACCTACTACGTCATTAACGGCTGTCATATCTGTGGACGCGACAGCGTAACAGGTAGGTACGCAAGACGTGCGTCTGGTGACGTAGTTCTCCTAATTTCTTCCAAAGGCCGTAAGTCAATATATTATTCCTGGCGAGCCTCAAGCGCGGATTGCTCTTTTGAATTCAGTTATTGTTTGCCTGTTGACCCGGGGGTTATGGGGTGAAAAAATATTTTTGAAACTAGATCATTTTCCGATGACCGGCTCGTATTAAAATATAATCCTCAGAATATTTCACAGTGGCTCTCTTCGAGTAAACAACTAGCCAGATGCATTGGCTATACAAAATAGACAATATCTCACCAGACAAATGACGATGCGTTATAATTTTAATCAAATGAAAGCGAATTCAAGCAAGCAAGTTTTATTTCATCGTTGAGTCAACGTCAAATGTCTGTTGGGTAACGATCAATGTGTATAAATATGTGTTATTTGGTCCCCACACCAATACGAGGAAAGGCAGATCAGCGTATCGTTGCATTTTGGGTTCATGTATTGACTTGAAAAGATAGATAATTTTTTGAAATATTTTTACTGCAATTTCATGCGTACTGGAGATTTAAATAAAGTCATGTATAAGCAGGAGGTCCTGTAGTTTTGCTTTACTAAAACAATTTTTTTTCGGACGAAGGTAACATTCTTCAGATTTCACGGAATCTCTTTTTGAATAAAATTTTTTGTGATCAGCCTAAAAATTGTAATTATTAAAGGGCTTAGTAACAACATTTGTAATCATTATTCCTTTGCCTCCATAAGTCATATTACTCATATATACATGGGGCGATATAGGTTGCTTATCCTCAGCACGCGATTTCGGCAGCTATATGCGACGTCAAGATTGAAACGTCGAGTTTTTTAAAATTCATCGCTTTTTACACGTTAAATAATCACCAAAAGTAAGTGGTTTTTTGATGATCAGATGTAATGGTTGAACAGTCGAGCCTGTAGGGTACCTAGCCAAGATACGCCGTATTAATCCACGGCCATTCAGTTTAACCTTGACCACTTCCTTTTCCATGAAAAAGAATAGAGTTTATTATTGGCCCTGCAATGATTGCAAGAGAAACAATATTTTTGATCAATTTAGCCTTCTATAAAATTAAAAGCGTTGGATGAAACGTAAATCTAGCCTGCTGCCAAAAGCTACAAGCGATATCATATGTTAAGAGAAATCGCACATTAACGAATAATTGATTGGTTTCAATAGTTAACGAAAGTATGCATAATGAAACATTAAGTATAAATGTATGAGTCTGAAATATTTGTTGAGCAGTTGAGCCTGAGATGAAGTACGTAGCAAACATGCACGGCAACGAAGTTGTGGGTCGGGAGCTGCTGCTGGCGCTGGCCGACGACATGTGCTCCAAGTGGCGTGCGCAGGACGAGGAGGTGCAACGTCTCATCAACTCCACACGCATCCACATCCTGCCATCCATGAACCCTGATGGCTGGCAGACTGCCACGCAGGCGGTAAGTGTGAGGGTGGTTAGGTTGACAGCAGTCTTGATGGCTGGCAGACTGCCACGCAGGCGGTAAGTGTGCTGGTGGTTAGGTTACCAACGTATCGCAGTTAATTTAATTTTTTGATCAACTTCCCTTATCACTGTTCATTAATTTTTTAATCAAGTTTCCATATGAAAGTAATAGAATTTTCGATCAAGTGGCCATATAAACTCATGGATGTTTACGATGGAGTTATAATACCAGAGTTTATTACATCGTTGATCAAGCTAACATATGACAGTTAAGTTGACATTTGTTGGTGTGTCAGGGCGGGTCTGACTACCTCATCGGGCGCAGCAACAACCACAGCGTGGACCTGAACCGCGACTTCCCTGACCTGGACCGCGTCATGTACGGCAACGAGGCGCGCCATCTGCCGCACAACAACCACCTGCTCGACCATCTCCGCCGCCTCGACCTCCATGTATGCGGCTTATATACAACTTAATCTTATGGCTTCATTGTCATTATTTTATAAATCTTATGGCATTTTAATGGCTATTATTTGAAGCAGCTCAGTTGCCTCGACCTGTTTGAGTGAAGCTCAAACATATATATTTGAAGCAGCTCAGTTGCCTCGACCTGCTTGAGTGAAGCTCAAACATATCACTTTATCTTGAGAATTTCTCTTTAATCTGAAAATTTTTTATTAAAGTTCTTTTGCGTTTGGCGAGAGTACCTAACGAATCTCACGCCAGACAATTCGAAATTCACGCTAGACGGGTGAAACACATAGTTTGTGTTTCAAGAGGTTTTAATTTAATTAGAATACACGAGCTTTATTGTTATTAATTACGATTAGAGGTTGCGCAAATGTGAATTTGGAATTACAGTATTTCCAAATTGCTTGAATTATTAAGCCAGGATATTACCTGGAGCGGACATTTTCTTAGCGGTGAAAACGCAAGACATTGCGAAACAGCGAAGAGAGTTAGATTGAAAACTTAAATTTGGTTTTTGACTTGACTTGATTTGAATGGTGCATATTTTATTAAGAACTTGAAATTAAAATTATCCCTCAAATTCTGAAACGAGCGATAAAATTGCGGTCCAAAATAGTTGATTTTATTTGGCGTCACAGCAACATTATCTAACCTCACTCTAGTTTCCACCCTCCATAATTACCAATTCCAATTTGTTGAAAACTTGTCTAGAAATGTATGAAATTTTAAAATTAATTCTTAATGTAATTAAGCCTGATAATAGTGTTATTATTACATTGTTTATGTTAATTATGGTTTGGATTCAGCCTGAGCCTGAGACGATGGCTGTAATGAACTGGATCCTGACGATCCCATTCGTGCTGTCGGCTAACCTGCACGGCGGGGACCTGGTGGCTAACTACCCATACGATGCCTCGCGGTCTGGTGCTCCTCAGGAGTACACCGCCTCGCCTGACGACGCCACCTTCAGGTTTGGTGCTAGCGCCCCAGCAGGAATCATTGTTGAATTAGTATCACCATTCGTTCTAAATTCGCTTATGTATACAAAGCGGCCTAAGTACACCTAGCGGCCTACGTACACGTAGCGGCCTAAGTACACGTAGCGGCCTGCAGCCAAAATATACGTAACGCCTTATGTACACGTAGTTGCCGATTTTTCTTGTGTGATTAGTGGGTTTTGCCTGGAAAGACGTCAGTGATTGGCTTCTGGACCTACAAACTCGTTATTTTCTAGCTGAGCCATAGGAAGCCCCTGTGGAGCAGATGAAAGAAGCTATTGATGAGTTCATACCTTGGGAAGCTAAGTTCATTTTGTTATCGTTGGTGGGCGGTGCGTGACAAACGTCGATGACAGGGAAACGTAGGCGCTGCCTAGAACGAACTTCGTGTTCGCGTAACCTGGCCTGGTCTTGAAGTTTTCGGTCGTTAGTTACTTGAATTTAGAGTAACAAATTCATAGCCTATCCTAGGAAGAGCCGCTTTGATCGTTGTAGCTACAAGAATTGCGAATAAAGGTTCGAGGCCTCCAATCAGCATGTCGAATTTGAAACTTTAAATGCGATTGGCTTTTATTTTTTACATTTGTGTGATCATCTTGCTGAGATGGCAGTTTGCGAGCATGTCTAGAAGTTCATCAGCTCATTTGCATCTATACATATCCTCCCACTAACTATTTTTCCAAGTAATTAGTCTTTTATGAAAATGGTTATAAATCTTTTACATGATGCACTAAAATGATGGCTGTTTATGATATAAGCGCAATTACTTGCCAAGATTCACTATAGTATAATCAACATCCTTTTATTCGTCTAATACTGAAGCCTGGCGCACTACAATATACTTTATGTTCAGGATGTTGGCGCTATTACTTGCCAACATTCACTAGTATTACTAACATTCTTTTATTCGTCTAATACTAAAGCCTGGCGCACTACAACATAGTTAATGTTCAGGATGTTGGCGCACTCGTACGCAGACAACCATCCCCGTATGCACGACCCCCACCGCAGGCCCTGCGTCAGGGGGGACATGACGTTCGGGGACGATGGCGGCGTCACCAACGGCGCCGCGTGGTACAGCGTCAAGGGGGGTGAGCACCCCACGCCATTCTTCACACTCGTCTTCATATTATTTTAATTCATTTCATAAAAATTGCGTTTTTTCACGTAAGATTGCATTGTTGATAATCTTTTCAATCTGGGTTATGGTTTTTTCAGGATTAATTGGCAATAGAATGGTGAAAACTGTATATTTATAATCAAATATTCTGAATGGTCTGGGACGAATGTTTTCTTGTCTTGACACCTCGTGCCTTTTCGCATATGGTCGATGAAATTAAATGAGTTTCTTACTTTGTAATTTTCGGCTCAATGCATATGACGATATATTTAAACAGCTTAGCAAATTTGAAAATTCGACGAAATGTATTCATGTCGTTCTACAATGAATTTGGCTCAATTGTGCCTGCATTTAATTTATATTTGATAATGTAAACAATGTTGCAGGAATGCAAGACTTCAACTACCTGGCGTCTAACGCCATGGAGATCACCCTGGAGCTCGGCTGTGATAAATACCCCAGCCAGGACCGTCTGGCAGAGCTCTGGCGCGAGAACAAGAAGTCTCTGTACGAGTTCATGTGGCAGGTGAGGCAGTCTCTGTACGAGCTCATGTGGCAGGTGAGGCAGTCTCTGTACGAGGTCATGTGGCAGGTGAGGCAGTCTCTGTACGAGTTCATGTGGCAGGTGAGGCTGTCTGTACGAGGTCATGTGGCAGGTGAGGCAGTCTGTACGAGGTCATGTGGCAGTTTAGTAATTCAGGAACGAGTGAACCCACATACACCTGAAATTATTATAGTCGTCATGCCGGCGTAAAATTAACATGTTTCTCGAATTTAGGTGAGACCCAATACCATTTGTTACAGTTTTAAGTTAAATAATTGAATGAAAAACGATTCAATTATCGAACATGAAACTATTACAGCCCCTGCGCTGGTGTAAAATTAGCACATTTCTCGAGTTTGGCGAAGAGCCAACTGCGTTTGTGAGAGTTTTCGTTTAATCACCTAATCCAGATGAGATGCAACTTGCACTTCTGAAATGATATGTCTCTGCGCAGATAAAATATTAAAAACCATGCACCTCGGATGACCTTAATATGGAGGCTGTAAACAAGTGTTTAATTCATTATAAATCACTTTAATCATTCCATCAAAAGTATGTTTATATCTTGCCGATTATATCAGGTACACCTCGCTTGTCGTGAGCAATGGAAACACGACTGCAACCTTCCTTGAGCTGCCTAGATATTCCTATAGAATTTCATGATATTTCACCTGAATTTTGTGATATTTTCCCCGAATTATGAGATATTCCATCAGAATACAAATATTTGTCATTTAAATGTCGTGACATTTCTCCTATTCATCAAAATATTGAATCTTTTCTTCAGGTTCATACCGGAGTGTCGGGCTTAGTGCGTGATGGTCTCACAGGACTCGGGCTGCCACAGGCCGTAATTTCCGTCCGCAACATCACCAAAGTCAACGCCACGCACTTCCGCAACGAAGCCATTCTGCATGACGTCACCACCGGTACGAGAATCTCGACTATCATAACATCACATTGACTCTAATCATCAGGGGTATTCTCTCATCAATACAACAAATACGAACGTGTGTGAAGTGTGATCTATAATTTGGTGATAATACTACTGAATATGACGAGTTCTATGCATGCCTGAATGGTGACAGAAACCGCTTAATTTTACTACCAGAATGTTAGGGTGCAACTGGCGACATGAGCGTGGCAGCTGCAGGTGCCACCGCTGACGAAGAACTAGTTGCAGGCTGACAGCTTTATTACCTACTTGATAATAATAACGAACCCTTTTCCTATTCTTCCTCGTAACGAAAATATACAAAATTTATCATTTCTTAATAAACTTTCATTTACTAACCTTTGAAACGGCAAAAAATTATAACAGTTTAAAAATTAACTGTAATAACTAAAAAGTTACAGTTAATTATTTGCAGTCAATTACAGATAATTAATTACAGTCAATTACAGATAATTAATTACAGTTAATTAATAACTGAAAAAACGTTTAAAAGAAAGCTACATTATTTGTGCAGCGGCGGCGGGCGACTACTGGCGACTGCTGACGCCCGGCACGTATGAGGTGACCGCGTCTGCCGAGGGCTACCTTCCCCTCACCCACGTCGTGACTGTCGCCAACCCTCGGCATGCCGGCGCCGCTCTGCGATGTGACTTTGCCCTCATCCCTGTCACCGAGGACATGCTCGAGACCGTGAGTTGTGTGAGGGAGACATGCTCGAGCCCGTGAGTTGTGTGAGGGAGACATGCTCGAGACCGTGAGTTGTGTGAGGGAGACATGCTCGAGACCGTGAGTTGTGTGAGGGAGACATGCTCGAGACCGTGAGTTGTGTGAGAGGAACATGCTCGAGACCGTGAGTTGTGTGAGGGGACATGCTCGAGACCGTGAGTTGTGTGAGGGAGACATGCTCGAGACCGTGAGTTGTGTGAGGGAACATAGCTTTTGCCAAATGCAGACTCGTTTGAGCAGCCGATGCAAGAATGTGTTAATGTTATATATAATATAATATAATATAATGTTATATACAAGAATGTGTTAGTTCTATGGAATGTGGACTTATGGACTCTAGTCTAGTAGCTATTTCAATCTAACGTCACTTTTGAAAATATCCTGACATCACTAAGATATGATATGTATTTGTATTGACATATATTGTATGGGAATTCTGGTATGTAATTATGTATATTTCCGTAAGAAATATGTAAAGAAAGTGTCACTTCTTTGGATAATGTGACCAATTTATTGTTCTGAGTGCAGTTCATTTGTCCTATTAATGACACAATAAAAATTTATCTCGCAATTTTTTGCAAATCACGAAATTTATCGCAATTTCTGTGTCGGCACAGCTGCAGCAGGACGTCGCGTACGACGACGAATACAAGGACGCGCTCGAGGCCGCCATCTTGGATCGCCTGAGGAGGGAGTGAGGGGGCAACCCGCATCCTGCTGATGGCGGTGTCCTGCTGGTGGCGGTGTCCTGCTGATGGTGGTGTCCTGCTGATGGCGGTGTCCTGCTGATGGCGGTGTCCTGCTGATGGCGGTGTCCTGCTGATGGTGGTGTCCTGCTGATGG